TTTCCCCCCCCCCCCCCATATTGGTGATATTTTCACTTTAAAAAAAAAAAGTAATTTTTGGAGAGGACTGGGGAGGAGGCAGGGTTAACTGTTACCTTTTTTACAGTGATAATCTGTGCCTATGAAGCCGTTAGCTGATACATTTAAGTATAAAAAATAATATAAGTAAGATAATGTAAATAAATCTGTTATAGTTCCTGATTAATTTTCTTTCTTCTTTTCTATTTTCCCCAAAGGGTTAAAAAAAATTTTCTGTTATAAAAATACAGAAAAAATACTGTTATAATTATCTGTATCCAAGAGAAGAAATGATTGGTATCTATCATGATAGAATATTCTAAAGTTTGACAGATTGGATACCATGCTACCTAACGTGGTGGTAGAAAACATCTTTGGTTCTTGTCAGGGTCAGAGCTAACCCAGTACAGAGCAAGTGTGAAAGTAATGTGCTAATGAAAATCAATCTATTGTGGAAGGAACCTTTTTTGCAAAATCCCAGACTTTTGGTCAAATCAGTTATTTAAATAGAAGTCTTATTACTATAGTTACTGATAGTGTCAGCAATTTTTGACTGTCAATCTCTCGCTAGCCTGATGTGATTAGATTGAAACCACAAGTTTCCTGAAATATTTCTGTGCTTCCCCGTCATTAACAGGAGGAGATTCAGAGTTCTGATTGTGAATTTGTGCTTGACTGTTAGGGATTTTTCTTTTCTTGTTTATTTTAAATGTTACTTTTATATTTCTAAATGTTTTCTCCTAGCATTTTTATTATGAAAAATTTCAAACATCAGCAAACGTGAAATAATTTTACAGGGAACACCCATGTACCCACCACCTGCTTCTATCATAACATTTTACTGTGCTTGCTTTCTCACTTAGCCATGTTTTTCTCACTAAGCATTATTTTATCCATCTTATTTTTTGCATTTCAGAGTACATTACAGTTGTCCTAAATACTTTGGTGTGCACACCGTTAACTAATTCAATTTTTATTTGTTTTTTTTTCTGATGTAAAATTTACATAAATGCAACTTATAATGAATTTTTTTCAAATGTAAAACTATTCAATAATTTATTAAGCATGGTAACAAAAAACCAAATTCTTTAGCTTTTAGAGTAGTTGTATTTTAAAACTGAAAAGTAAAGAGTGTTTACATTTTAGTGTTAACATTTATAATTACTTCTGCATTTGTTGGCTATTTGCTATCTAGGTATAACTTTTTCATAGCCCAGATGACGATTACAATGCTTTTAAAGAAATGAATCTGCATTCATAGTTCATCTGAGTGATTAAAGCAGAGGCTGAAATTCTCAACCCACTATACCAGGGTACTTCAAAAAGTTTGTGGAAAAATAGAATTGATAGATAATAGAAATATTTCCACAAACTTTTTGAAGTACCCTCCTATTACTTTGTTGTGACTGAAGGACCTGTGACATGCTATGTTTCAATTTGTATCTGGCCAACAAAGAATAAAAGGGGGAAAGATTGAGGGCATGTGGGAATGTATAGACTTCAGTCTGTTTAGATGCAGTGGTGCAGCTTTCTGGACTCTAAGTCCTTTCCTCAGATCCTTGCTGGACTGGGTGCCTGGTACCTGCAACCAAAGGCAGAGGGCCACACTGCTTCCTGGTCTCGGGAAAGACGTTGCAGACTGTAATTATCCTGATTTGAGCATCACATATTGCACACAGATGTTGATATTCAACTCTGTACCCCGCAGATATGTACCATCATCTTTGTTTCAATAATAGATAAAGAGTTCAGAAGTGAGGTCTTGGTAATTACAATTAAGTAGAAGAAAAAAAACAAACAAAAAAAGCTTGGGGGTGGGGTGAGGTAGACCAGGATAATAAAGCTGTTTTGTGATTAGTGTATTAAAATTCTCCTGCTACCCACCGGATTGTAGTCCCAAATTGGTCACCACTACAGTTTAGCATAATATTTTTTAGGATAACAGAATTGCAATGTCAAATTCTCTAGTTTTACTGTGTAAGAAAATTCTTATATGAAGAATGATGTTTGGGCAAATACAAAACTCTGCAGGGCACTGTACAGGGCTAAAAAAGATTTTAACTTTAAAAATTCAGAAGTAGGGGCCAGCCCGGTGGCGCACTGCTACAGTGCGCCGCTTGGGAGTGCGGTGGCGCTCCCGCCGAGGGTTCGGATCCCACATACAGACTGGTTCCCGCTCACTGGCTGAGCAAGGTGCAGGCGCAACACCGAGGGTTGCGATCCCGTTGCCGGTCCCTGTCCGGTACAGGCGCGACACTCAGGGTTGCGATCCGTTGCCGGACACGAAAAAAGACAAAAAGGAAAAAAAAAAAATTCAGAAGTAGAATAGTCTATTTGTGACTTTAAAATTTTGCATGTACAAATTTTGGCTAGAATCATTGTCACATTGTTTGGAAATAAGAGAGAAATATCTTATTTTTTAGGAGGTGGCAGAAAACTAGCAAAGCACCAGATTATTATTAACTCATGCTCCTGATCATAGCTGCTTCTACTTTATCCATTTTCACCATGACTCTCCTCTTACCCTGTCCCTGGTTCATAGCTCCATATTAAACCACTTCCTGTAGATGATTCTCAGTGTTATTTACTGTAGATTCCTGCCAGGCAGGAGGGAGGAGACAGACCAACCTCAGCTCAGGTTAACCCTACAGGTGCTGTACGTGCTGAGAGCTGTAGCTGTCAGGTACTGTGCACAGCAAGCCTCTGAGAGGGTCCTGGTGGGAAGCAGGCAACATTTGCAAATCTTCTTTGCCAGTGCACATGAGGCAGGAAGGAGAGACAGCTCAGTTTGGATCTATAGTGTTGTTCTCTCCTTTCTTTTCTTCCCATGTCTTTAAAAGAGCAGATTTATTATTTTTTAAGGGAGCAGATTACTATTTGTATCTGTCTGACCTTGAGGTGTATCAAAAGCTTTTCTTTTGAATTTGAGTTTAAATGATTTTGATTCAAAACACAAGGTTCCCAATATAATTTCCATGGCCACCCTCAGAAGAAGCTTTGAGTTCTGTGCTCTCATTCAGGCATAAGATTTGAGATTCCTTTGGGATTTTAGAAGTCTTCCAGTCCAACTGCATCTCTGCTGTGTGATTCTTGTTCGTAGGGCCTTCATGAGGATCTGTCAGACCCCTTTGCAATCTTGTGCTTTTTTGCTTCTCTTTCTATGTTCTTATCTCTCCTCTCACATAAATTTTAGATAGCCACATGCCTTATTTTAAATTACAAAGTTTCCCTAGAATGATCTTGGTGTATCCCATTTTAAGTGTCTGTGACTCAATGGCTAGATTTCTATTCACGTGCATTACATCAACAAATTTTATGAAAAATCATGGGGGCAAAGCAGACTGAAAAGAAAAGGGGTTCAGTAGTAAATTAGGACTTTTTCTGCTTAGAGTGTGCAACTGCAAAAGAATGTACTGGATGTGCCTCCAGTATGCAAAGCAAGTTCCTCCTAATGGATCTTATCACAACTTCATGACAAATTTCTAAAAATATTCCCTGCAGTTAGCAGTAGCAGCAGTGGGTTTCCAAGGGAAAGACAAAGCAGGCACGCTGTGTGGGTTTCAGTTAGGCGAATCATCTGGAGAGTAAAGCAAATTCTTGTGCCTTCTTTATAGGTTGTGAAAGTGACACGGATTCTGAATTTACATTCAAAATGCAGGATTATAATAAAGATGATATGTCATATCGAAGGATTTCATCTATCGAACCAAAGACTGCCTTACCATTCAATCGCTTTTTACCCAACAAAAGTAGACAGCCATCCTATGTACCGGCACCCTTGAGGAAGAAGAAGCTGGACAAGAATGACGATAACAGAAGAAGCTGGGCAAGCCCTGTGTACACAGAAGCAGATGGAACATTTTCAAGGTACTGGGATTCTGTGTGATTACTGAGTTTACTGTGCTTTGTGGGGTTTGGTGGGATATTTAAATGTGGTAATGGAGTGGCTCTTAAAATGTATCTCTTAGATAGTATATTAAATTTCACTAATGAGAATTTCTTTCTTACCTCTAATTGTAGTCATACTTATCTCGAAGATATTTCTTCTGCTTCAGAATGTCAGCATATGATTTGCTGAGTCTTTTTTTAGATGTATGCTTTCAGTTTATTGGTATTTTTCAGCATAGTAGATGACTTATATTGTTCATTGTGAGCTCGGCTGTGTTATTTTCTTTCATTTTTCCCCATTTTGATTGATCTTAGTGGACATGAAAAGAATCCTTTAATTTTCCATCAAATTAGCAGAGCAGAGTGTGATTTTTCCAATCCAGCTTCCTATGAGAAGGAGGTGTGTGGTTCTGAAAGTGGTTCGGACTCTGAGGATGAACGAAGGTTGCCGGATGTGATTTTGGATGACTTAGCCAATCGTAGATTCCAAGTGCAAATGAGGCCAGAGAGTTTCATCTCGAAAACCACCTCTCCTAACTCGTGTCCGCAAATATTTTCTCCTGCTGGTATATTAGCCACTGGGCTATGCGAACTGACCAGGTCAGAAATATTTGTCCTGGATATGGATGTCTATCATGCTGATGCTGCTGATTTTAATTCAGAAAGTAATACCCCAGATTGTTTATTTATTGTCTTTTTTTTTTTAAACACAGCTTCTAATGAAGTTTTTTTTGGTCCATGTGTATCTAGCTATTCTCTAATTGAAATGAGATGCTGTTATAATGCCTTAACGTTCTAGGAGCTGTGGTGATGAGAACGGGAACTAATTTGCCTCGTTCACAGTGGTGTTCAACTTTGTGAGCCAGAAAGCATGCCTTTTGTGTTCTGTGTCATGAATTGTTCATATGGTGTCTTAATGGGTTGGATGTTTTAAACAGTAACCACAGGAGGACTTGGGGCACCAATGTGGAGAACTCTTCAAACTCCTCTTGTTATTTGGAAGAAGAAGACAAGACAAGAAACCTACCCAACATTGTAAAGGATGATCTTTATGTGCGAAAGCTAAGTCCAGTCATGCCAAACCCAGGGAATTCTTTTGATCAGTTTCTTCCCAAATGTTGGATCCCTGAAGATGTGAACTGGAAAAGAATAAAAAGGGAAACTCATAAACCATGGTATAAGGAATTTCAGGGATTCAGGTTTGTCTTTGTGCATGTTTCTGTTATTCTAGTGTTCATTCAGTACCCTGGCTGGGAGGACTCTGTGCAATTTTTTTTTTGTTTTGTTTTGTTATGAGAGAGATGGAGAAAGGCTGATTTTCTCTCTAACATCTATAAAACCTCTATAGTTGAAAAAAAATCTGTTTCAATTTAACCCTTATGATCTGAATCTTTAAAAGCTCTGTTCTATATATTGTCATAGCTTGGCATTGTTTTTAGTAGTTCTGTTTTTCTCCAGTTATTTATCTTCTTCCCTCCCCACTTCTATTCTTTGTGTCACTCCACAGTGGAAGGAATTCAGACTCTGAGGATGAGGACTCAGGCTCTGACAGAAACTCCACCACTTTTAGTAGAACACAAAAAGCAGAGCGTAGGCTAGACGGCAAGTGCCAAAGACATTCACTCTTGCTGGAACTAGCCTACAAACAGGCCACAAAATCTCGGGACACCCATGCAGCCAGGAGAACCGGTGGTGCTTCAGATGAGCCCAGGTGCACCTGTCTGCATGAGCCTGCCTGCCTGGGGTCTGGTCTCAGATGCCCCTCTGCCTGCCTCTGCTGCTGCATTAACCTGGGACCTGACTGCGCTGAATTACAAAATCTTATTCACTTACTAGATTTAGTACAAAAGCATAATATATAACATATCGCTTTCTATGTGAGCACATCAGCTTGGAAGTTATAGGAGTCAACGTTCTTTATCACAATAATGTGCAAGACAGTATGTATTTACATGTGACGTTCTTTTGGAGAATCATTTTTAAAAGGCTTTTTAGAAAGATTACCTAATTTTACAGTTGTGCTGTGCATGGAGAGGTGGAGAAAGGAAATAACATATAAAGATGGGAAGGGCAAGTCTGGGGAAAATGCAAAGAAAAGATTCATCACGGTCTTTTTAAAAAAACTTCAGAGCAATTCATTTTATTGTTTTCTGCTGGTTACATGTACGTATTGCATAAAGTGCATGATGCCCAACTTTTGAATCTTTCCAGGATTGTTCCTTCTTATCTTAGGGGAGTGGGTGACAGGGTTTAGGTCACTGTGGCCAGTGGAATGAGGAAGGGGTGCAGGGGAGTGGTGCTACATGTCAGGGAGGTGTATGCTCCCTGTGTTCCAGCCCCATCACAGGGCCTCAGTGGTGCCCACCTTTCCTGAGACGTACACTCTACTCTTGTTTCTTTAAATGGTGTCCAGGAAAGTCACAGGTGGTAGAATTAAATGCTAGTTTGTCTTCCTAGCAAGAATCCTTCTCATGGCCCCCCTAAAGTAATTCTCCCTTGGTAACTGGCTAGTTAGTCAGCTACCTACCTACCTTTTCTCCCCAAATTTAATAAGATTCTCCCTTCCTTTTTCTTTTCTGTGCTTCAGTCAGTTTTTGTTACTTCAGGCTCTCCAAACATACTCTGATGACATCTTGTCTTCTGAAACAAATATCAGAATTGACCCCACCTCAGGCCCAAGGCTCATAACACGCAGAAAGAATCTCTCCTGTGCACCAGGCTATAGAAGAGATGACCTGGAGATGTCAGCCCTGGATCCTGACTTAGAGAATGATGATTTCTTTGTCAGAAAGACTGGGGCTTTCCACGCAAATCCGTGTGTTTTCCGAACTTTTGAAGACTTTAGAAGGCTCTCTGAGCAAGATGATCCTGTAGAGCGAGATATAATTTTGCAGTGTAGAGAAGGTGAACTTGTACTTCCAGATTTAGAAAAAGATGATATGATTGTTCGTCGAATTCCAGCACAGAAGAAAGAAGTGCCTCTGTCCGGGGCCCCAGACAGATACCAGCCAGTCCCTTTCCCTGAACCCTGGACTCTTCCTCCAGAAATTCAAGCAAAATTTCTCTGTGTACTTGAAAGGACATACCCATCCAAAGAAAAAAGTAATAGCTGTAGAATATTAGTCCCTTCTCACAGGCAGAAGAAAGATGACATGTTGATTCGTAAGATCCAGTCTTGGAAAGTGGGAACCACTGTGCCTCCCCTCAGTTTCACCCCGGGGCCCTGCAGTGAGGCTGACTTTCAGAAATGGAAGTCCATCCGGGAGGCCAGCAGACTCAGGCACAAGAAACGGCTGATGGTCGAGAGGTCAGAGTGTGTTTCTGCAAGGATTGTGCTTGCAATGGATGGTATTGTGTAAATTTCTTGTGCGAGAAAGCAGCAGCACACTGCTCAGCCCTGCATGTCGCGTGCCATTTTGAAGCATCCTGTACAAGTTTATTTTGCTTTGAGAAACTTTCAGTCATTTCATGGAAAAAAATGCAATTCCATATTTGCACATCACTAAATCACTTGTTTAGGCCTGTTTAAGAAGGTGTCTGCACAAAACTTGCCTCTGGCCCTAAGCAAGACTGTGGTAGTATTCTGCAATATGAAGTTTCATAAAAATGTTTTCTCAGTATATTTACAGGCTATTATTCTCGTATTCAGGCGTTTTTTAACAGTCTGGTTATAGTTCGGTTTTATGTGTTTCTCATATTTTGGAGTGACTGATTTTTTTTTTTTTTTTTTTTTTTTGAAAATTTTCCTTAAAATATGGCATTGCAAATTTTATTTTAACTTGAGTTTTATTTTTGACCTAGGTTTCTTGGACTATCAATTCATAACTTATTTTAATTTATAGTTTAAAGTTCAGTGCAAACTTTGTTAAAATGCATGAATGTGATTTAATGTCTGAATTTTACATGTATGTAAGTGTAGCCATTTTGATGATAATTTGTTATACAACATGCCTTTTGATGAATGTTCAGTTTCTTGAATTTAGGGATGGACAAATCTGACTAGGTTGAAAAAATTAGCAGGCCTAAATCTAACTAATCAGTGACAATGGAAAGCCTTTTCTTATGGATTTGTTGGTTCAGAATAAATTCAGAAACACTTAATTTTGCTTAATTTGAATTACTTGAGATATGAGACCGATGAGAACTTGAGACATGATTAAGAATGCAGCTGAAGAAGCAACCCTTTGAGATTTGTCCATCTCCAGTTAGACTCTTAAGTTAAAGACAGTGAACATTGAGAAATAAATACAACCAGAAAAAGTGACTTTTTTTTAATTTTTGGTTTTCTGGTTTCTTAGACTCTTTCAAAAGATTTATGGTGAGAATGGGTAAGTTTTACGGTTTACAGTAAAAACAAAACAACTGGTGACTATTATTTGTCCTTTGTGTAACTCATCATTGCACTTCTGTCCTGGCATGTCACTAAATGGGGATGCTGTGTGCTGTGCATGTGGTTTAAAGTGGGACATTTTTATTAATGTTGCAACTTATTGGTAATATTTCTGTGTCTGAGTACCTAGTGCATGAAGTGCTATTTGACAACAGTAGTCTTTGTTTTATTAGAAATTAAAAATTCAGCTTTATCCCATTTTTTAGTTTAATGAGTTAATTAAAAGTAACTAAAGCACTTGCCTAAGATTAGGAAATATTTTGAAGATTCTTGATTAGGGTAAAAAGCTATAACCTGGCTATGTTATAGAACAAAATTACGTTTCAAAATTGAAGAATTTAAATCCTGGTAGTTTTCAATATTATTGTTGGAAAGACTATATTTATAACTAATTCTCAGTTTTTGTCTACTGTTTAATTCTACTCACTTGGTAGACATGACATCATAAAACTTTTAGAAATTTGGAAGAATTTTAAGACTAACTGGAATTTAAAAGGAGACCAATCATTCATTTATTTTTAGTTGCAAAATCACTAGGTGACTGTAACTTAATATTTTCCACCAAATCTGTGACTTTGTGAATCTAACCGTTAATAGTTTTTTTTTTTTTTTTTGGTCTTTTGTCTTTTTCCGTGTCCGGCAACGGATTGCAACCCTCAGTGTTGCCCCCGTACCGGACCGGGGACCGGCAACGGGATCGCAACCCTTGGTGTTGCTCCCGTGCCTCGCTCAGCCAGTGAGCGGGAACCGGTCTGTATGTGGGATCCGAACCCTCGGGCGGGAGCGCCGCCGCGCTTCCCAAGCAGCGCACTATCCAGTACGCCACCGGGCCGGCCCGACCGTTAATAGTTTTTGAGCAAGAGGGAGAGTTTAAAGATATCAAGTATTTTACTATGTTTAAACTTTAGTAGGTAACTATCTAAGAATCTCTAAATTCGATAGCTTTAGATAGTCCAGAAATCTTGGAAGCTACTAAAATTACTATTTAAAGCAATATAACTATTCTAGGTGAGTAGGTAACTATCTAAGAATCTCTAAATTCGATAGCTTTAGGTAGTCCAGAAATCTTGGAAGCTACTAAAATTACTATTTAAAGCAATATAACTATTCTAGGTGTCAAAGGTGTAATTCAGCCATTGGCAACTAATTGTAAGTACTTCTCAGCTACTGATTTTAAAAATCAGGCTCTCAGCATGCTTTCAGTGTATCAGGTAAAGACACATTGTCCCCTGTCAAAGGTGTAATTCAGCCATTGGCAACTAATTGTAAGTACTTCTCAGCTACTGATTTTAAAAATCAGGCTCTCAGCATGCTTTCAGTGTATCAGGTAAAGACACATTGTCCCCTATTCAGCTTATCAGAATTATGTTTAAGCATCCGCTATTCTCGGTTCATCATGGGAAGGCTGATTTAACTTGATTAAAAATCTCTTTGAACCTTTAAGCATTTTGAGTAACTTACAGTAGAATTTTCATTTGTAAATATGATTTTATAATGTAAGCAGATCTCAGGAATAGTCGTTTGTTCTTTAAGCAAATATGAGTACTCAGAGTACAAGTACTTGATGGGAATGTAAATATGTACAACTATTTTCAATGACTGGATGTGTTCCTCCTTAGTGAGGGCTAAGTAATATGACTGAGTTAAGTAAAGAGGAGGAAAACCTGCATGCCAAAGCTCAAAAAGCTAATTAGTTTTCAGGCTATAGTTAGGAGCAGCAAATGCTTTCTGTAGATTATTCCAAGGTAGTTGTTTGGATAGTACAGTATTTGTTTTAAGGGCTATTCCACATGCAGTTTAGTGCCAAGGTAACTACACAAATAAAGCAAGATTGTCTGTAAATTGAGAGTGATGAATAGTGCATTACTTGTCAAATAATGACAAGTAACAAGGAAAGTAATATGAATGTGTCTTCTGAAAATCCAAGTGTATTTTAGACTACTTGAAATCAAATCTATCATATAGGATTTTATTTTCTATATTCTGTCAGTTTCCAGTGTTTCTTTTAAGTTGATCTGCTATAATAAAAATAAAATATAAATTTAAATTGGATTAAGTTTAGGTTTTTAATCTAGTTTGTATTTCATGTTTCATGCTGGATATTTCTCTGAACATAATGTACAATGTCAAGCTTAGCATACTTACCTTGAAAAACATAATTGCTCAACATCTTGTAATTAAAAATGACTGCCTATAACATGAATTTTGGTAAGGATCAGGTTTATAGAGAAATGTGCAATGTCATTTGAAGTCTTAGGCCATTAATTTCTGGCTTGCTTTTTATTTGGCATTTAACACCTGTTAGTTTGTTTAATTTTAGTAAGATGCTTTATATGTGCCTGTCATTTCTTGTGTGTGCTTTTGTGTTGCATGGATTTATGTCTGCATGGTTTCATGAAATTTGAAAATTTGGTTTTGTTGCCTTTTGGCAGAAGCTGTTAATGACAAATAAAAATGTGTCATAAGCGTATAGAGGAATAATCTTGTAATATGATTAAGCCATTGAATCTGCTGCCAGTGTCAACAGGAAATGAACACTAACTCCAGGTGAAGTTGTAATCAAAGATAACTAAGATACCTATGTTTCACTAATGGGTTTTAGCCAAAATATTTTGTGGAGTTATGAAGACAAATAAGACAGCCAAAATAAAGGGAAAATATAGTTGATGTGAGTTGCTTTTGGGAGCTTCCTCCCTTCCCCAGAGGACATTTGGTAATGGCTGGAGATATTTTTTGATTGTCAAAACTCAGTATGTATGTTTACTGGCATCTAGTGCTTTTATAACAAGGAATGCTGCTAAATGTCCTACAATAAACCAGACAGCCCCCTATACAAATAATCTTCTAGTCCAAATAATGTCAATAGTGCTGTTATTGAGAAACCCTGATTTATAAATCTCTAAACGAAAAATCCTCATTACATTGCCTTATTCTTCTAGTTTATGACAATTCCAAAGCCTCTTACCTAGACTTTAGCCATTGATTCCTCTTCAGAGAATTCCTATGATACCTAAGGAAATATATTTAGAAGTCATAAATAAGTATATTCATGTATTCCTATGAAAGTTGGGGACCCTTAACTTCTTAGTATCATGGAATTTCTATTTGCTGTGTAAGGCTATCAGTGATTTTATATTTAGGAAAATTTGCCACATGTTGGTACTTTTTGATCCCTGACTTCTTAGAGATTCATCTGTAAAGTTTCTGAAATACACCTTAATACTAGTCAGAAAGTGCCAGCAGTGTAGTTAGGTGATCATCATAGTTGGAGAAGAGAGTAAGACTTTTAGTGATCTTATTTCATGATTGACACTTTCTTACTTAAAGTTTCCCCTTCTTCCTGTTTTCCCCCTAAATGCTATTTTTTGAAAAAAATCTATTCAACTGAAAAGGCAAGATTTTAGACCTGTATTTTTTGGAAAAAATCCAAATGCAGTTCTCAGTTGGAGCCTTTCCAAATAAAGAAATACAAATGTAGCAGGTAAATGAATTGTCAGAGAGTATGATTTGCCAGTGAATTGTCCTTCATTCAACACAACATTCTAGAGGTGTGTAGCCCTTCTTAGTTTTCCCAAACAATTTTCCTGACACTATCTCTGGTACTTATCTCGGTGCTGTGAGGTAGACAGGTAGGCATTATGTGCATTGCAGGGACATAGGGAAAGAGAAACAGATATTGCAGCTTTCCCAAGGACATAAAACTTGCAAGTGGTAGAACCAGACTTTGCCTTTTGAATGATCCACGAAGACCGCTTGGCGGTGTTGCTGGCAGACACTAAGCCCTCAGAAGTGTACTATTATGCTATTAATGCTGATAAGGAATGAAAGAATTCTACATGATCTGGCTGAGGCACTCCTGTACTCCAAAAGTTCTAGATTTTATCAGTGTGGTCCGGGGAGACCTCTCTAATTTGAAGAGGCTTGGAGAGTTAGCTTTCGGGAGATCCTACACAATCATATTTACTTTAAAGAATTGGTGTATAGCACCAGATGATTTTAAAATGCGATCAGCACAACCTTATCCAGTTCTCATAACAATTCCCACTGACTTAGCAGATGAGGAACTGAGGCTCAGAGAAATGAACTAATGTGTGTTAGATTGAGGTAAAAACTGGTGCCATGGCTGGGCCTGGGGCCCTCCTTGTCTGGTTCCCATGCCTGGCTCAGCCTGCTGTGGGGTGTGTTCAGGCTTTATGTGGGGAACTCCATCTGCCCTAGGGAACACATCAAGCTCACATTCCTGCCTTTACAGAGACGTGTCTGCTCCCGACTGTGTTTGGCTCCCTGTGTTCACAGTGAGGGCCTCCTGAGTGCCAGCCTCTGCTCGGTGCCAGGGCACACAGGAGGAGATGGCAACCTCTGCCCTGATGAGCAGGTTTTACAGAAAGACACTTGTTAATGCATTACAGTGCAGGAGGACAAGGCTAAAAGAGAGCACCCATGGGAGATTCTGGGCCGGTCCAGACAGCCCAACCTTCCTCCCACCAAAGGTTATTAAAATATTAATTAACATTTCCATTTTTGTTCTGGAGTTTATGCAACTTCAGGTGCTAGGTGTCCAGATTTCCCTCATATCTTGGTCCTGAAAATTTTTTAGTGAATGTATTATAATATTCACTCAAATAGCCTCATTCTTTGCAGTTATGTCTTCAGTGAATTTATATTTCCGAATTCACAGAAATTGGTTTTATATGTAGCCATACCTAGTTCGATATATATTATATTAATAGATCATATGTATTTTCATATATTCTCACATATTTTACATATAATTTGTTCCTTAATATTTCTTAATAAATCTTATAAAATTTTCTTTATAAAACTTTAGAGAGCGGTAGTACTTTATCTCACAAAAAGAAGTAGAAACATTTCAAGTTTAGTGTATTTTTCTTGATTATTACATTAAAACCTAATTCTTACCAGAGATGTAAATGAATGTATCCTGCGCACTTTGTGCTGTGCTAATAATATTTTCCTCCAAAGCAACATATGACTTGTGAGGAAGATAAGCTAAGCAGGCACACACACACACTATATATATAGCACATATATATATGGCATGAGATTGATGTTAAGTACCATGAAAAAAGTATAGCTAAAGCACTAGAGGAGTTGAGAGAAGGAACAGACCACTTTTGATATAGAAGAACTGGGAAGTGGGAGAATATCCCTTAGATTATTCATTTAACACATTTATTGAGCACTTACCATGGGCTGTCCTTTATGCACAGGTGATAATACCAGCAAACAAATCAGACAAAATTACTCCTCTATAATCTTATAGAGCAAGGCAGGTGATATATAAGTAAATGTACATCTCGGGTGGTACTAAAAACTCTGGAGAAGAAAAGTGAGGGATAGGGTGAGCTGGAGGAGGGGGGCGTTGGCTGTATCTTGTTGGGTTGTCAAGGAAGGAAGCACTGAGGTGACATTTAAGCAGACAAGTGGAAGTGGGAGAGAAGGCATGGGGATGTTTGGGTGAAGAGCATTCCAGGCAGAGTGGAGAGCAAGGGGAGAAGCAAGAGGTTTGCCCATGAGCCAGGAGGCTGCTGGCTGGAGCATAATGAGTGGGAGAGCATGGCAGGGGAACTCAGAGAGGGAGGTGGGGGCCAGGTAAGATCAGAACTTGCAGGTATCAAAGGAGCTCGCCTTTAACTTGAGTGAGATGGGAAGCAATTTTGAAAGGCTCTGCGGCTGCTGTGTTGAGAATACATGTTGGGCAGGAAGGGGTCGAGCAAGAGGATGGTAGGAGATCTAATGGCTTCCATCAGGGTGGTAATGGTGGAGGTGGTGAGAAGTGGTTGTGTCCTAGATATACAAGGGTGCTTCAAAAACTTAGTGGAAAAATAGAATTAAAAGATAACACAAATCTCTCAATGAACTTTTTTGAAGGCTCTTCTTATTTAGAAGGCAGAGTAACAGCATTTACTGATGGGATCAGTTATGATATATGAGAAAGAGAGGAATCTGGGATGACTTTGATATTTGTGTCCTAATGTCTGAAAGGATGGAGTTGTCTTTTATTGAGATGAGGATGATGTGGGATGAGCCGGCTGTGGAGTGAGCAATCATGTTTTTTAGTCTGTGATGAATTTAAGGCACCTGTTAGATTTGCAAGTGGGGGATGGATAGGAAGTTGTGTATACCCATCCAGATTTAGTCTAGCAGGAATCCTGAGGTCTGAGTGGCATTTAAAAAGTCGTGTATCCTGGTGAAGGGCTTTTAAATTGGAGGAAATAGTTGAGGAAAGGCCTTCACTGGATCTGGAGGTTGGGTGATAATTTAAGAAGCTATTTTGGAAGTCTGGGTGAGAGTGGACTATGCTCTGAACTAGGGTGCTGGCAATAGAGATGGAAAGAAAGAGACACTGAATGAGAGGACTTGATAACTAATTGAAAGGGAAAAGGGAGAAACAAAGCTGAAATAATGGTTCTTAGGCTTCGAGTGTGGATGACTATAGAGCAGGTGACACCACTGAGGAAAAGCAGCTTCAGGAACAAGATTGAGTTTGGCTACATGAACGGTAACCATATGTTTAATGAGTTCCACTTTACAACATCCTTTCTAGATATTATTTCAATTTGTCCTTTTACAGTTGAGTTGCCAAGTAAATATCCACGCAGAAATGTTTATTCAGCAAGAAACTGGAAATGAGTGAAAGGAGGGGCTGGTCCTGAACTGTAGGTTTGGGAGTTACTTGCATGGAAGTCGTAATCGAATTACTGAGCTAGCTGAGAGCAAGTTTGTTACAAAAGAAACGTGATAGCAACATTTTGGGGAAGGCGAAGTTAGGTGCCCAGGAAGGAGATGTAGAGTTACTTAAATAACTAAAAGTGTAGTCAGTTTCAGTGAAATAAAGTTGGAAGTGCAGTATGAAAGGTCTGTAGGAAAGAGCATTTTGTGTACCCCTCCATCAGAAACTGCCTGCCTCGCTCTTTCTCATACCTACCTGCTCCTCAGTTTTCAAATCTGACCCCTCCCTTTCCGGAGCCCTTCCTCAATCTCCTTTTCTCTGGTGCAATTTACCAGCCCCTTTTATGTGCATGTGAACAGCAGACGTGTGCTGTGTCCAACACCCCACTCTGTTGGGGCTCTTCAAGAGCTAAACTTAAGTACATCCTTGTGGAGGTGTTGCAGACTCGGTGCCAGGGCATGCTCTCGCTGATAGAAAGGGTGTGTAACCTCATGAGAGCTGCCTTAATGAAAGTGAGGGCTATCGAGGTGGTTATAACAGGCTACCAGACACCACCCATGGTTCTTTGAGAGCAAGCCCAGTGCAGCAGTGGGGCAGATCTTATAGAATCTTTTCAAGGAAGCAGCACATTTATTCATGGTATTGAACTTGAGGAGAAAATATCAGGTAATCATTAAATTATTTAATAAGTGCCTGGAAAATGCAGCCAAACCTCCAAAAATTATCTTTGGGAGAGATCGAAAAAGAAGGACAGATGATTCTAGTGACTAATAATTATTATTTTTTTCTAAAGAATTCTTTTGTACATTGATTCCTTCAAATATAAACGTTGGAATATTGCTTTCAGAATCGTGCAGGGTTAATTTAGCCATTTTGTGAAAAAAATTCTCATTTGAGTTGAGTGCTAGGCTCTTGTTTCTGCGTTTTGGAAAAATACCATTTATCTCCGTAGTGCTATTTCTGTGATACTATCACTAAAGCATCTAGGTAGTACAGCAGAAATTTAGATGGAATTTCCAAATATAAGTCCAACCTTCCAGTTTTAACCCTAAGTCCAGTCATGTGAACCTTGATAATCATGGGTATTTTTGTTGTAGGAGTAAGTCCATGAGTGATGTCCATGCAGAGGATGTTCAAAACTTGCGTCAGCTGCGTTATGAGGAGATGCAGAAAATAAAGTCACAGTTAAAAGAACAAGATCAGAAATGGCAGGATGTGAGTATTCTTTAGATTGGGATAGGGGAGAGTATTTGTTTCACTTTTCCTTGCTTCATGTAAAAGAAAGTCAGTATACTTGAGGCAGTGTTCCTTGCTATAACAATTCAGTTTTGTAGAAAATGTGACCAACTTTCTTTACAAAGATTTTTAAACCTTTTGGCCTATTACTGTTGCATATTTTAATGGCCATTGTGAAGAATATAATAGTATGTTTATCTTCTTAAAGAGTTCTTAAAAATATGAGGTTGCTTCCTTGCTGTAGTTAACTTGTTGAATTGTTTTGGTGGTTGAATTTGGGGTACGAATTGTAATTATGCTTATGATAGGAAAAATCCTAGCTCCAGGTTTAGGGAGAGAATAGAGGCAGGTGTCTAGCATAGATCTTAGCATAAGCAGGGAGGGATGAAAGCATTCTTAGAGTTAACTGAGATTTGGGGAGAAATAAAAAATATAGCTCAGAATGATATTTTGGCTGAAGAAGTCACTATCTAATATGAATCAAAATTAGATGTTTTCACAGAATTAGAATATTTCCAGATGTCTATGTGAATAGAGTTTTTGATCTTTAGTTTTAATCCTGCAGAAAGCTTGACCTTTCTTTGAACAGAGTAATTTTTATAAACTGAAAGCATGTCAAGAAATACATTAGGTAAACTGTCACACAGAGCAAACCCAAGGAAATTTGAAGGCAACTTTATAAGAATTGAGTGGTAGCATGAGCAAAAGGGCAAGAGATAGTAAATCTTATTTTCAAAGCAGTTTAAGTCTGTGCTTAGAGAAGAAGGAACCCCCTCCTTGACATTTCCAAATTCCAGTGCCTTTTTAAATTGAGAACTCAGTATAATTGTCAAGAAACAGTAATTTAATGTCACTTTGCCAAAGTACATGGTGAATTGTTTTGGTATGAAAGCAAGTATTGAGGGGTTATTCATTAGCTTAAGTCAGATGAAAATTTATGCTTGTTATCCGGTAGCACTAAACGTGCCCTGCTTTTGTTCTTTCTCGAAAATGCTCATGGTGGTTTTAGGCTGTTTTTAAAGCAGTAGTGGCTCTGTCTATAAAACAGGGTATAAACCAAACTTACTTTGCATGCCCTGGGGATGAGGTTTGGTCTTAGAACTTGGATGTGCTTCTATTTGGACTGAAATGCCACTAGCAGTTCCTAATATGACATTTCTCTGTTTTGGAGACATAGAAACACCTGTATCTTCCAAACCATCTTAACTCCCTGGTGTCAGAACCAGCCTAAGTTTCTAGGGGTAATTGAAGAGCTGAATTAGGTTGATTGTCCTGGGGTCCGCCAGCTATATTAGGTTTATATTCCCAGGGATATGGGAAACAGGTGTTGGCTTGCTCTTTCCAGATCTTTCCTTATTGCCCTGACTTACATGGACTTTACCCTCTTTGAAATCACAAATTCGAGTTTCACATTCCCAGTAAAGCCTTTCCAAACTCTCCCCTTCCTAAGGTGGAAGTGAATTTTTATTTATATGTCTGTCTCTCCCTTCTAGAGTTCCTAGAGGGGAGGCACACCTCATTCATCTGTGTGTTTCTTCCTGCACCAGGCCTGCCTCAAAATAGGGACTGAGGTCATATTTGTTAAATGAAAGACAGACTGTACATCTATGCTTAACTATTACAATTACATTTCTGTTTCAGTCTTACTAGCAAAACATGTCGTTTCATGTAACAGCCAGGTTTCTGGAGTGAGATGAAAATGAGTTTGAAACAGTTCTTGACCTATCTAACCGGCACCTAATTACAAGCATTTAGCATTCATTGTGAAATGGGCAAGGAAGCGGACACTTTCTGGGAAAACAAAAATGGGGTCTATCTTATTAGGTCAGGTTTTTCAGAAAGACACATGAGATGAAGGCTTGGTACAGAAACACTGGCTATAAAAAGCAAAATTAGGGCACCTTGGCATCCAGTTGGAGTGAATAGTTTCAGTGATGTAATAGGATACTCTGGCATGCTCTCGCTGATAGAAAGGGTGTGTAGAAATTCAGGTATGCTCATGCTGATCTGATTTTCTGTCAGGACCTTGCAAAATGGAAAGATCGTCGGAAAAGTTACACTTCAGATCTGCAGAAGAAAAAAGAAGAGAGGGAAGAAATTGAAAAGCAGGCACTTGAGACGTCTGAGAGAAGCTCTAAGACGTTTAAGGAAATGCTGCAGAACAGGTAATAAGGCCGAATGCATCTCATGGTTGGAGAGACCAGGGTTAGAAATACATATTTTGTATAAAGGTAGTGTGATATAAGTGTTCAGCAACATTAAACTTTAATCAAATATGCAATGAAACGTTCAGGATTTTGCTCTGCAGTGAAAAAAACAAAGTATTGCTGAAATAGTGACTTAGATTAACAGAGGAAACAAGTGCTTAAAGTAGGTGTGCCTCATCTCTTTGCTTTACATTGTGCATTCACGAGCAGAACTGGATGGCGCTGGCTATATCTGGTGTAGAAAATACAGTACATTTTATCCCTTTAAAGTGAATTTAGGATTTGAATGGTCAAATAAAATCAGGTCTCACTTTAAATTAAAAGTGGGAGTGTAAAATATGACGGAGTTGTTTTCATGTTTTAGTGGAGCAATTCAAGTTATGCTATAAAGGAAGTCTGTATAACGTAAATGTGTGGGTTTATATATTTATAAACTTTCCTGTAAAGCAGTTATTATGTGAAAACTTAGGATGTTTACAAGTCAGGGAGAATGCAAATATGCTTTAAGAATAAGGTTAAAAAGGAAATATGCTGTCAGGTGAAATTTAACAAAGTTCCTTTGTGCCCTAAAAGCCAATGATAAACTCACTTTCATTCCCTTAAATACAACATGTTATCTTGAGAGGAGGTACTCCTTACTAAATGTTAGAGATGAGGATGTTTCATCAAGTTCTCTATAAATATGAATGGTGACTTCTAATCTGTAATAATATTCCATGCAAGTTCTGTCAGGCTGCATGAAATCATATACTAACTTGATCTTCACAAAAGACTGAGTCTTTTGTAGTCTTTTATTTTTACTAAATTGCTGTAAATTTTATACAGGAAAAAAAGCTCAGATGCTGCCAAGGAATTTACATCTTTGGATTTACATAAAATTGGCTGTCAGCCAATTATATTTATAGTGTTTTAATTTTAATTTTGGAAGAGTTAAACTTCCATAAACTTGTGGATAAAATTTTGGGACTAATCCTTATTAAAATTTCCTTATTGTGTTAATAAAATCTTTTTTACAATTAAAAAAAAAATCCCTGTGAAATAGTTGAGATCCTCTCTAATAGCAAGAAGTCAAATTTTATCTTTCTTAGTTGTGACAATAAAAATAATTCCATATATTTATCCTCATACTCTGCTAGTGTTGTATTGATTACTGTGTGAAGTCAGTAGTCTTTTTATTCCCAGCCATGTTATATATAAATTACTTTCTCTCCACCTCCATGTAACCGATGCATAACTTTGTGGTGATGGGTTTTTCTTTCTGCTAAGGGAATCCCAAAATCAAAAGTCTACAAGTACATCAAGGAGGAGAATATATTCTTTTGATGATGAATTGATTGAAGAGAAGCTACCCCCTACAATGAGTATGTCAGAAGCAAGTTACCAAAGTGAGAGAGTGGAAGAGAAGGGAACAACTTATCCTGCAGAAATTCTGAAAGAAGATTCTACAACTTTTATAAAAAGGGAAGACGCTATAACAGCTGAAATTCAGCTTCCTTCCAGAAGCCTCGCAGAAGAACAATATCCAGCCTCTTTGTCTTCTCAGCATTCATTGAGGACACAAATGGAGTCAACTCGTGTTTCAGCTTCTCTCCCCAGAAGTTACCAGAGAACTGACACAGCCAGGTTAACATCTGTGGTCACACCGAGACCTTTTGGCTCTCAGTCAAGGAGAATCTCATCACTCCCCAGATCCTACACGGTAAAAATGTTCCCACTCTAATTAATCTGTTCTGAAGAGCAAACTGTTGGTGAACTAGTGCAGTGGTTGGAGTTATGTATACTTGATGTGTAAAATGGACATAACAAATATAAAACACTTTTATGTTACGCCAATTTAGATTCAACTAAAATTTAATGATTAAAATATAGCAGTCAGTGATGCAAAATTGATTAAAAACTTTAAATTCTGTGAAAGTAGGGCTGATATATTTTAAAGAATGAATAACATATATTCCAAGGCAGAGTGTTAGTGTTGTATTTTTTCACATATAGCTTTTGTAAAGTATTAGGTTGAACAATGTGAAGTTGTCAATAGTGAGTTCTTCTTGACCTATAAAAACAGCCATTTCATATGATTTACCTTGAATATTTTCAGGAGCTTATGTACAAATTTCTGCTTTTTCCTGACTTCCCACATCATTAGAATTTGATATGTTTGAGTGTATTTATTAAGATCTATCATATTGTTCAAATATATATACTTCTATTAATGCTGAGATTTTAAAGGATATCGAATATGGAAAAATTTTTCCTAAGAATGAGTGGTGGTACCACATACCTAACAATGGGTGTGTTGATCTGCATTATGTGAAAGAAAGCAATGCAGACTTAAGATTAATGTTCAAAAAAATATTTTTAGCTCTGCTTATGTACAATCATAAAATCTAAAAAGAAAAATATGATTTAAAAAAACCTGAATGTTGGGGTGAGAGAAGCCTACCTGAACTAGTCAGGAAACCCCTGACTTTTACAGTAAAGAAAATATAGACATATTTGACAACATAAAAATTATATAGCAGACCCTATTAATATAATCAAAAGACAATTTATAGCCTCAGAAAAATATTAGCAAAATGGATTATAGATAAAAGGTTAGTATCTCTAAGATATAAAACATCTGTACAAATTGGTAAGGAAAAGATAAACAGTAGAAAAATGGATATGGAAAAGGAGTGGCCAATTCAAGGGAGAAGGAATTTCAATGGCTGATAACATAATGCACAGGGAAGCACATTCAGCTTCTTTGGAGCAGGAATGAGGTATACAACTTTTTTACCCATCAGACTGACAAAGATTTAAAACACTGAAAATGTCTAGTGTTGGCAAGGATGCAGAGAAATGGGCATTCTTATACATTACTTAGTACATTGAGTTTTTTTTAAAAGATATTATATATATATAAACTTTGCTTCAGCAAATCTGTATTTGGAGATCTGTGCTATAAAAAGAAAAGTTCCAGTTATAAAGGTATATTGGTATTTGGTACAATATTTTTAGAAATAACAAAACTTTCAACACTTCAAATGTACATGAAATGAATAAATTGTTGCTATCTATACTGTGGAATATTCAGTAATTTAAAGGACTACTTTAGAGTTCTAATTATTGACTTGGAGTGATATAAACATGCAAAGCAGGTTTCAGAAGTCTGTATGTAATATGAATGCTTTTGTTGAAGCAACAGTTCCTCTCACACTACATGTGTGATATCTATTGGTGCGAAAGAGTGTACTCCAAGCTTTTAGCAATAGTTACTTTGCTGTGGGAGGTGTATGTTACTCTTGTAGTTTAAAAATATTAATAAATATGTTTCTTAAATAGAAAATTAGTGAACAGAATATCAAGTTTAAAATATTTTCTGTTTAGATGGATGATTCTTGGAAGTACAATGGAGATGTCGAAGGTGTTAAGAGAACTCAGAACAGTTCATTCAGCACCTTTGCCCCCAAACCTGACACCAGCCAGCTTGCTTCGAGTTCCTCTAGTGGGAGAGAGGCCTCAGAAGGTGTGGTGAGGTTGCCCTCTCCTACACCCCTCTTGTCATCTCTTTCCCAGGACAAGGCTGCCACTTCTACAGCCACACTGTCTTTGACATCTGGCCCTAATTTCATGTCTGAGTCTGGAGAAGGGAGAAACACACCCCAAAGAGAGGTCTCAAGATCACAGGTGAGTTTGGAAAGGTTCTGTATCATCCACTGCTTAGATACAGAAGTCTTTAAATCTGGAAAATGTGTTTCTAACCTCTAGGCATCAGAGTCTGGGCTGATAATGCGCAAAATGATATGATTTTAGAGGAGATAGTTCTCTTCCAACTCTGAGGTTTTTAAATCCAGATAACCCTTGTGATCTGTGTGTATATTGACTTTATGGCCCTGCCTTGTTGGGGGTCGACAGGTCTTTCCTCTCTACTCCACATTTCAGTGGCTCTTGCCTCATTCTGCTAGTGCTCAGTAGTCCTAGGTTTCAGGAGCAGGAGTCACTTGGAAGGTTTTAGGTGCAGATCTAGTATATATTGGGTAATAAAAGCCCTTTCCCAGGAAAATTAACTGGCCACAAGAAGAAATTGATGCACATGATAGGTGCTGGCTTCTAGTGATATGATGTTCCTTTCTTAACCTTCTGGTGACTTTTAATACTAATTTAAACTTTAGAATGTCTAGAATTTTGGATGGCTCCTTGTCTCTTAATGGGAATATCAAGGCTTAGTTTTAATATGCTAATTGTATTTCTTAACATTTAGATTCCAAACAAAATATACCATCGGATGATAAATGACTGGGGGCATTTGTAGTTTTCCTACTTAAAATCTTAATAGATGACTTTGAAGAGAATTTTTAGGCAATAAATGTTTTTTTTAGCCTACATGCAAAACATGCTAAAAGTCTTTATCTATTGAACAGAAAGCTGCTCTCTTTTAGAAAAATCCTCGTTAATCAATTTGATAGTTGTATGAACTCCTTAGCATGGAGGAGCTTTTGTGGTTCATTGGCTTGGTCTAGTATTCTCTGTTGCCTAATTTGAGTGTATTTGTTTCCCAAGGCAAAAAATGAAGTATATAACTTGGCCTAAGTTATATTAATGAAATAACTAGGGGAAATAAATTGATATAGTGTATTTAGTATTGTTGGATTCTTATTTGTTTAGGAAAGCTTTAAAAGTTAAACCTTTTCTGATTTTAAGGTACTATGTGCTTGAGAAAATTTGGAAATGGAGGAAAGTATAAATAATAAAAGTTACTGGTAATTCCTTCATTTAGAGATAATCATTGTGTTAACATTTAGATATTTCTTTTGGTTTTCCCCATTCTTATTAACAAACATATACCTAAAAAAAATATCTTCAGCCTGTTAAAATTAGTTGTAAATTTTGTTATATTTTTAAAGAACTGGAAATTATATATAATTAGCATCCTACGTTTCAATGGATGAGAACTATTTTATGCTTGAGGAACATAAGGTACCAGTGGATGAATAATAACAGAAGCAAGGTGTCTTTTGTTTTACAGACTTGTGTGTTCGCCTTCACCTTTTCAAATAGCAAATTCAACAAAACTGCCTGATTAATGTGTTGCATACTAGGCGTTGGTACCTCCCTCAGGGTGGCAGCTGACTAGCTGCATCTGTGGATTAAGAAAAGGAGGTTATATGTGGGTGTGGGTGTGTCCCAGGTTATTGCCTAAATTAACATCGGATCAGAGGAGCCTAAATTAACATGGCACTGTTTCAAGTTTCATCATTAATGGATTTATGCTACTTTGTCACCAAATTTGAAATGGTATTCTGCCAAGAAAAATTAGGCTTTATTTAACAATTGGAGCCATTGGAATTCTTGGAGATATGTATATTTTTCATAGGATGACTTACCTATCTCTGAAATGCTTGATGTGTCCATTTCTGCACTATGGAAAAGTAGCTGATGTAGCAACACCTCTCCTTTGGCTCTGAGAAGGGGCTTATTGACTTTAGAGAAAGGATGTAAATGCATACAACAGCTGACGGGCAATGTGGGAAGGGCATTGTGTGACACTGCTCCAGTGTCATCTTCAAACTCTGTAGCTAGGTGTCCAGAAAGCAGCAAAATCAAAAATAGCATGTGCCTGAACATCTGGATGTCTTGGTAGCTTTGTGAAAGAGTGTTCTTCAAGGCTTCCTTCTCTTTCGTTCCTTCCATTTTTGCAGGCAATGTCCTTTCAGTTCTTTCTCTAGACTCTCCCTTGATGTTATCCTTTTCAGGCTGGCTACCACTACCTTAATTTGGGCCCTTTTCCTATCAATGCAAATGTTTGTGACTGGCATCAAATTTACTTGTCAGACCACGGTGTGGTCTGTTGAATGAAGTTTGCAGCACTCAGGGGAACACTGACATCCCTTATGACTGGTCCCAAACTCCCTTTGTAGTGCTTGAATAGTTCGTGTTTATTGAGTGCTTACCATGTGCCAACCACGCTTCTCAGGGCATTATCTAAGTCAACCCTCACAGCAACCCTGTGATGTGATCAGCAATCCTAATGATGCACTGTCATTATTATTCCTATTTTATAGTCATGAAAACTGAGGCATTCAATGGTCATGTCACTTGTCCAAGGCCATCCAGGGTCCTGAGTGGTAGAATCAGGATTTGAACCTAGGCAGTCTGACTCAAGGTTGCTTAAGTCATGCAGGGAGAGAGAGCTGATTCAGCCACACAAGACTGCTTGCTTTTTTTCTGAGACACGTCATACACCATCTTGACCACATATATATTCTTATTGTTCCTCCCACTGAAAATTTTCATTTCACACATCTCTGCTTTTTGAAGTCCTGCAGTTCCTTCAAAGCACAGGAGGACCACTTCCTTCATGAATCAAGATATCACCTCCTTTATCAGTTGGAATTGAACTTTTCACCCTTGAAAGCTTCACTTACTGAGTTCTTCTTTGTTCCATTTATTCATGTGTTCCTCCTTCACTAATAGCCTTCATACCTTCCGCAGCCTTCGTACATGGTTGGCACTTAAGTGCTGATAACTTCAAGTGCATTTAAGGCCTTGATTTCTAGGCTAGAGTATGAACTGGATCTAGCAGGTATTTTAGAGTTTTTATTGGTTCTTTAGTGTGGGAATTTTAAGATTAAGGGATGTTTCAGGAATATATTAATCACCTCCCTTATCACCACTGTGATGTTACATAGAATTATTTTAAGGAAGCAAAATCTGGAGGAAGAGACTGCTTAGGAGCCTATCACAGAATTGTGGTAATAGATGGTATGTGCCATAAAGAAAGAAAAGTGTAGCAAAGGAAAGAACTTAATATGGTCCCGTTTAAAATCCTCCCACAGGAATTTCCCTTCCATTGCCATTGCTGTGTGCAGGGTTTTGTTCCTATCTCATCCCTTTGCCCCCCTCCTTCTCTTGTGGTTTTTGCTTTTTTTCCTGCTTTCCTTTGTCAGTCTGGGCTGCCAGGGGCAATTCTAGGGTGACCCAAGAGAAAGGGAGGGAACGTGACTCCCAGAGTCCTTCATCTTCCTCCTCTTGCCTTGCAGACATGGCTTTCATTTTTTCTAAAATTGGTTTTGTCTACAGGTTTCTATTTTCTATTCTGTCCTTTCAGAGCCCTCAGTTTTTTTTTAAATTTATTGAAACATAATTGATTAGACATATTTGTGGGTTACAGAGTTGCATATCAATACCTGTGTATAATTCATGATGATCAAATCAGGACAGATCCCTCTGCTTTCAAACCTTATACAAATCCATCTTCCAGAACCTCTGCCCCAGATTTTTAAAAGCAGTACTCCAAAGTAGGATGATATGTATAGAAGGAAGGAAACTTTTTACACGTCCATTTCCTGATCCCAGGTGCATGATAAATGTCTCTTCTGTTAGTACCCAGGGCTTACCTTATCATAGCCTCACAGCTTGTCACCTTCACTAGACTCTACTCTCCATGAGGGTAGGAGGCAAGCCTGTCTTTTTCGCTATTAGCACAGTACCTGAATCTGAATATTTATTGAATGGTGATTGAAGTCTCTCAGCTTTTAGAGCTGAGTGTGTGAGAGTTAAATAGAGTTTTCTTTAGTTGAGGTGGAAACTGCCTAGCCAGCATGTAGGGCATGTTTAACATTGTTTTCATGGGAAAAAGAAGGTAATTACCTGGCATTAAATATGGGCCTTGGCATCTTTAAAATATTCCACTTAATCTTCTCAATAACCTTGCAAAGTAGGTGGTATTATCCCCATTTTTGCCAATGAAGTACTTGAGAATTTAAAGTTATAAACTTGCTACAGGCTGGTGAAACACTTAGGCCACAACAGTCACTTCTCTGGTCCTAAATATTTTTGAAATATGACATGCTCAAATTTGAGGACTGCCTTAGGTATAGTTAAGACACCAAATATTGACTTATTTTAACTTGGCTGTGTCTCTGGGACTTCAGAGACAATAGGGACTTTAAAAATCTTCTGATTCATAAAGATAAAATCATTCTTTTTTTTTTTTTCGTGACTGGTAAGGGGATCGCAACCCTTGATGTGGTGTCGCCCGCACCGCGCTCAGCCAGTGAGTGCACCGGCCATTCCTATATAGGATCCGAACCCGCGGCGGGAGCGTCGCTGCGCTCCCAGCGCCGCACTCTCCCAAGTGCGCCACGGGCTCGGCCCAAGATAAAATCATTCTTGAAATCATTTTGAGGAAAATGTTATATATTTATTGTAACTTACCAGAACGGAATCTATTTCCGAAAGGTAGAGTTCAAAGTCTACCAAGTAGGCAGTAAGGAGCTACCAGCAATTTTAAAATGGGGCGTGATATAATAATCAGCATGTTCTGTGACTAAAGTTCTTTTATTTTTTTTTTGATAGTTTTTTACTGAAAGATGATTGATTATGTATATGTGTGGGGTACAGAATTGAATATCAACACATGTGTACAATATGTGGTGATCAAATCAGGATAATTAGTATACTCATGTTTACAAAATGTCATCAATCTTTGTGACCCTTAACTAATTTCTCGATAACTCCCTCCCCCTCCCCCTTTCCCACCTCTTATAATCACAGTTCTGTTCTTTTTTTTTTTAAGTTCAGTGTATTGTTATGATTGTCTCTTTCTTCTTTCTTTCCTCTTTTCTTTTCTTTATTTTAACTCCCACTTATGAATGAGGACATGTGGTATTTCTCTTTCTGTGCCTGGCTTATTTCACTTACTGTAATTTTCTCTAAGTTCTGGCAGCTGTGTGAACGATGGACAGAAACAAGGGCTGGAGGCAGGAGGGCCAATTAGGAGGTGATCACAGGAGTTTAGGGGAGATCATGATTTGAAACAAGATGGTAACCTGAGGGAGGATGGAAAGGATGGGGTGATTCAAGATGGATTTATGGATTGTTGACTTGATAGTGCTTTGTTAAACAACATGTGTGTGTGGTGGAGAGTAGGGGTGGGGAGCAATTAGGGCAAGGAAGGAGAAAGAGGCCTAGAGAGAACCTTGGGCAACTGGTTAGATGGTGATGCAATTAACTGAGATGTGAAAAACAAGAGGTGGAAGAGCAGGTTTGGGGAGGAAGATAATGAATTTAATTTTGGAAATGATGGACTTAGACAGTCATCAAAGACATGGCAGTGAATGAGGTTACTCAGGAAAGCATGTAGTCCAAAAGGTGAGAGGGAATGACAAAATGAAAATAGAAGAGAAAGAGGGGAACACACTAACATAACTGAGAAGTGGCCAGAGAGATGGGGGGAAAAGGCAAGAGGAAGTGAAGTAATGGAGGACTTAGAAGATGGTTTCCTGAAAGCAAGAATAGTTCGCAGAGCCTCGTAGCATGAAGACAAGATGGGTTTGGTAGGTAGAGGATAAGCTTGCAATGGGTTGAATGAAGTGGGAAGCACCTGCGCCGGCAGAATGGAGAGTGGCATGTGGTAGAATGGAGAGCAGAGAAAGATTTAGATGCCTCTTTGGGGAAGGAGAGTAGCTCTGGTGTCAGCAGCACCATGATTTGAGGGCTACTCACCTCATGTTCTCCCACTAAGACCCTGAAAGAAGGCGCTAGAGAACCACGTGTGCGCAAATTCAAAGATGACACATGTCCTTTGTTACTCATGACTTTACAGTCGACATCTACTCTCGGTGTTAATTTTATCAAGTAAGTCGGCTTCCCTTATGTCAGCATTTTTGTCTGATTGAAAGTTTGAGTCTAATAGCTTTTTGACTTGTTAGTACATAAGATTGACCCCGTTTTTCATCAGTTCCCATATGTGGTAACATGAACATCTTAATCAGATACAGGAAATATAAATCTTACCATTGTGACTCCAGATCATCCATCCCCGTTTTTGTTTAAAAATTTAGTCTTGTACATCTGCTTCATCAGGCTTACAGTTGATGGGGCAACCTGAACTTTCATTGTTATACTTCTGCTCGAGTGTACCAAATTGAGGGGAACTGTTTTGATTTCAAATGCTGAGATGTCAATAGATAACTATATTTAATCTTTTCTGGCATGGACAACTGAAACCACTTGGATAATTCATTATCAGTCATCAAGAATCTCATTTAAGTTTATGGGGGTTTTGGATAAGGAATAAAACTAACCAGTAATTTTTTCTATTTTTAGCAGAGTTTTATTATGTTCTTCAGGTTGGTGTTCATCAGATGATTATTAATGTGTTGTGACTACATCTGGAGTCCTATATTTAAGCTGCTTTACAAAAGGCTTTCTGCTGAAAACTTTTCTATGTAGTTAGCTACAATTTTTTTTATTGCTTAAAAAATCCCATACCCACTGAAGAGTCAAAATTATTTTTTGAGAACAGGATTATGCCTAATTCTTCTTTATTTCCCGAAGTGCTAAGTACTGTGTCTCATACAGAATAGATACAAAATGTATGTTGAACAAATGAATACGTGGATAGTATTATAATACTAACCTTCTGTGTGTCCAGATAGTATAGTAAGTTCTTGATCCTTTATTTATTCAGTGTCTTCCTTATCTTTCTTCTAATTCCTGTGAACTGTCTTAGTCCATTTAGTGTTGCTCTAACAGAACAGCTAAGGCTGGGTACTTTATAAAGAAAAGAGGCTTATTTGGCTCACGATTCTGGTGGCTGGAAAGTCCAAGAGCCAGCATCTGCTTAGCCTCTGGTGAGGGTCTCAAGCTGCGTCACGACGTGGTGGAGAAGCAGAAAGTTGAGCGTGTGCAAAGAGACCCAGCACAAGAGGCAGCCGCGTTTCATCGCTACCTGTTCTTGTGGTAACTAATCTAGTTCCGGGAGAGCTGGAATTTACTCTCTCCCAGTCCGTTCATCAGGGAAGATGCTTTATGACCCAAACATCTCTTAAAGGCCTCACCTCCCAACACTGCCACATTGCAATTAAATTTCAACTTGGCTTTTGGCGGGAACAACCCACATCCAAACCATGGCATGTACTATCCCAGTTTTCCTCAGAATATTGTTACTTGGATTTTACACTTGTTTTATGAGTGGATAAACTTAGGAAGAAAGCTTTATGAATTGCCCAACTGACTCTAGGTTTGGATTTAACTGCCAAATTGAAAGACCTACGTTGGTAGGTCTTTCTCTGGAAAGTAAATTAGGTTTAGGAAGTTTTTTTGTTTTTTTTTTTTTAAACAGGCAAGACTAAGTTCTTTATGAAACAAAGAACTAAAACACTAGTGTGGTAAAATCATTATATTAAAATCTATATCTGTTGCTTACTCAAGACAAACAAAATATGTAAGTTATATAATTAAGGTTTTCACAGACATAGTATACTTTAAAACTGAAAACATTTGTGTTGGAAAATGGCTTAAGAAAGTCCTGTGAAATTTAGAATTTGTTGTTGTGTAGTGTGATGATGGATATGGAAATAGACTGCTACCTTTTGTACAGGACGCTTTTGTTCTTGGGCTTGTGCTTGTGAGCTGATGTTACTTCAAGGAAGTCATGGTCTGTAGCTCAGAATGTCTCCGTAGGGACCCTCTTGGCACCATAGGGAGTAGTTTATTATGTTTGATCCAGTTCTGCATTTTGCAGCATGTGTAGCAGCTACCCCTTTACCAATAGATCCTTCTGGGGCAGTTAGGGAAGCAAAAATGCCTTGCCAAATTTCAGATGCCCACGAGGGGGGTGGTACCAGTCCCGGATGGATGCTACTGGTAGCTGAATTATGTGTCTATGAACCACTTGAAATTATTCAGCTAAATATGTTAAATGTTGGAGGTAGTTTTTTTTCCTCAAGTATAACAGTATTTTAAAAATAAATGATTTAAATCATTCTTCATTCCTAGGCAAAGAATAAATGGTTTTTAAATTAGACTTGATTGTTTGGTGAGCAAAAGCCTAAACTTTATCAATAGCCAACTGATTTATACTGTTAATGTAACAAAAAACATTTATTGACAATAAGATTTCCCTTATTTTAACAAGAAAAATAATAAACTGAGTGATATTTATGTAAGTGAAGGTTTTACAAACCCAAAGAGGAAAGAATGAAGCTTCTGGTTTATCATGAAATAATTCAGGTGCCCCTTGCATGCAGCCTCCCTTCTTTCGTGGATAGACTTTCCTCCTCATGGGTGCCAAGGACACCCGACACCAACGTTTCATGTTTTGTTTTCAGGATCAGTTCAGTGATATGAGAATCAGCATAAACCAGACACCCGGCAAGAGTCTTGACTTTGGGTTTACAATAAAATGGGATTTTTCTGGGATCTTCATAGCATCAGTTGAAGCAGGTAAATCTTAGATTTAGCTCTACCTAACTTTTGTCTCCTTTCTTATCTTGTGCTGTGGGAAAAAAATGCAGAAATTAGCTTATTAGATATAGGAGGAAAAAACGTGAAAAATGTAGCCGTAAGCAAGGAAATGTATCCTCTTCCCCAGGCTGTTAGTTGGGGTTACAAATTACATATTGTTTCTTCTCCTTGTCTAATTAGTTTAGTTTTGAAGAGTCTTAATTTTGTGACTTTGCAGAATTTGTCAAATTTTGGGGCTTTATATTTGGAGATGCTATAACATAGTACTTAATTGAAGATTCAGAAAGAACTTTCTATGACCAACTATGCATTGTGGTAGATATATATGTGCTGTATAATAAATTGATGTGTGGTGGGTATTTTTGTTTGGGTTTTTTTTTTTTTTTTTTTTTTTTTAGCATCCTAATATACCTATTGCACATGGAGTCCTCAGGATGCTTTGGGACTTGTGCAAAAAAATTATTCCTCTGCTGGCCAGGATTATACCAAGTCAAGGCCAGAAACTCTTTGCAAAATATTTCCAGAAGACCTAAAATTAAAATGAAAGCCATTGTATTTAAGAGGAGGTTCTCATTTCCATTTTTAGCTATGTAAAATTGCATGTTAACACCAGTTATTATTTTTTTTAATTTCAAGATTACTTTAATTACACAACAATATTTTAGTTACAGCAGTAATTTTAAGCAGTTTTAAGTAGCCATGTTTTCTTCTGTCCATTCCAGAGTGCATCTGATTTGGAAGCTCAATTAAAGTGCAATATATTTTACATTTTTAATTTAAAGATAAAATTTTTCTTTGTCCTTAGGAGGTTAATACATTTTACTGAATAAATGAGTTTATCATTTCTCCTTTAAATGTTGTTGAAGATGCATATTATAGATTTAAAAAATGCCTTTTGTGCTTTGTATGTTGTAGATACTCAAATATTTGATAACTGAGAAAAATTTAGTGACCCTTCTCCACCTGAAAAAAACTGAGAAATGGTTACTTAAAAAGTCATTTTTCCTTAACTTAAAGAAGCAGTGACTATGTGGACATGTGGTTTTTTTTTTTTTTTTTTTTTTTTTTTTTTTTTCTTAAAAAGTCATTTTTCCTTAACTTAAAGAAGCAGTGACTATGTGGACATGTGGTTTTTTTTTTTTTTTTTTTTTTTTCAGTTGGTTGTTTAACGTATTTTGCATTATTTAGGTAGCCCAGCAGAATTTTCTCAGCTACGGGTAGATGATGAGATTATTGCTATTAACAACACCAAGTTTTCATATAAGGATACAAAAGAGTGGGAGGAAACCATGGCTAATGCTCGAGAAACTGGAAACCTAGTAATGGATGTCAGGCGCTATGGAAAGTCTGGTGAGTTGGTTTTACCTCTAAATTTCTAAATTGGGTACTGGTCTTTGGTAAGTGGTTGTAACAGCTTTCTTCAATAACTTTTTATCTTTTCATTTCACTTTTTATTTTTTTAAAGGTGTTTTGTAGTTACATTGTGATAAATCTTGAAAGATATCTCCTTGAATATTTTGTCTAAAAACTTTTCACTAGCAAATTTACTGAATTCTACATTATTTATGGACTGATTAATATACTGCATGCAAATATCAACTGAAGGCAAATATATCTGCATTTGGGAATCATTTATAATAATGTTGAGTGTTAAGAATTCTGCTATGATTTAACTTTTTCTATAGCAGCATGTAAGAGAGAGCATGGAAGCTCATATGCATGTTGTTTATTCTCAAAGAACTTTCAATATGCATTCCATTATTGAAGTTCTTAGTTATTGAGGTTAGATGTGGAAGGGCATTAAGTCCTTCTTCTCTAGACCTGCCAATTTATGATATCAGAATACATCTATTTCTGGTTTATGAAAAGATTCAATAAATTTGCTAGTCTTTTCATTATTAACATGATTTAACCTTTGTGTTTGGGAAGGTGGTCTGTTGCCCTAATTCCATTTCTTTCATGCATTACCTGATTTGTCTGTCTGTCTTATATGTATATGTGCATTTTTTACATATGCATTCAGTAACCTTATTCTTTCCACTTCAACATTTATGTGTACTCATTACCTGATCTTCATGTGCCAATCAGACTGGGGCAAAGACCAACCTTCTCTGCCATTTACAAGGCATAAAACTCTCAATCTCACCAGTATGGCTACCAAAATTATAGGTTCACCTGAAACTAAGTGGATTGATGCAACTTCTGGAATTTACAACTCAGACAAGTCTTCAAATCTATCAGTAACAACTGATTTCTCTGAAAGCCTTCAGAATTCTGTAAGTATTTTGAGAAGCAGCAGTATTTGTGTAGAGCAAAGCAACTGGGAATTGTGTGTGGGGAAAATATTTTGTTTGAATAATTTTGATACTATCTTAAAAACATGAATAATTGAATAAGGTAATTTACAGTAAAGAGAATAAAATGTATTTTTGAAAACTATAAGGCATTACTCATTAATAGAGTAGTACTATAGTGAGTTATATAATGGTAAAATCAAAAAATCCCATAATGTTGTTTTGCAGATGTTTTTCACCAATCTTTCATCGTTATACCCATCTCTCAGATCTTTGTGAATGTGAAGTAGTAATTATGTAAAATTATACACTATAACTTCTCTAGGCATTCTCTAGTCTTTACTCACAAAATAAATGTAGTAATTGTGTGCAATATAAAACCTCATGAATTTGATGGATAGACTTACATATGTGGTTAAGAGATAGTTTCATTAATTGATTCAAAAGTATAATGTAGTAATTTTTCTGTATCAAGGCAATACTTTTTCATATAGGCTTTGAAAAAATGTGGTTTTTATTTATGATATGAATTGTTAATTTAAATTCAATTAATTAAAATTTCAATTAAATATGATGCATTTATATTGACTCTCTAGGTAGTATTATTATCCTAAGGTACCTCCTTTTATTTAATAAGGAGATCTTGCCACATTGTGTAAGAAAGGTTTAAATGTTAGATAATCCTATGTGACTATTTTGCTTACTCATAAATGTAAGCCACATGGACAAATAATTACTTGGCTCATCATGTTTCTTGGAAAATTAATGACTGATTAAACTCAAAGCCATCCGTGCTTGCAGCTGGTCATTAATCCTTCCACAAATACTGAAGAATAACGAACAAAATTTAAATTTCTATTACATGTAAAGGGCTGTAAGGAATGCATCAATAATCTGAAAACGTCATTTTGTTAAAAGATATTTCACTAATGAGAAATGCATTATTTAAGCTCAAAGTCCAACTGGAGAGAATATTAACCAGCATTTTAATCCTTTCCAGAATACTGAATCCAAAGAAATCAATGGAATTCATGATGAAATCAACACTTTTGAATCAAAAGGTATCACCATGATAACTTACATTCATAATACAGGAAAAGTCATAGCACCCAAATTCTGCTATTATAAAAATTAATATCTTTGAGTGAAAGAAAAACTGATCCACTGCAAGTTGAAACTAAAAGGTTAGCACTCAGATCCAATTGCAGCCAGGTGGGAGGGCATTCAGCTCCAGCATTGAATAGTTCAGGAACTGCAAACAAAGCTTTGGCAGCAAGTTCCGGAGCTTTGAGTGTCTGTGTGCCTAAGCCAAATAAGAAAGACTGGTTTTCCCAGGGCCACCTGCTTTCTTGCTATGGTATGCTGGGAAAGGGGGAAACTTAGTTAAATATGAAATGATGAGTGAAATTTCTTTTTCCTTTTTATTGTCAAAGGGACAAGCTTGGAGGTGGTTAGTCTTAAAAGGGAAACACCAGTGGCAATGACAGTTGGTAGAGGACATACCCATTTGTAATGAAAAAGAAGGCAAAGTATCTGGGGAAATTTTGAAGTTATCACTGTTTTCTTCATTCTGCCCATCCAGAAATAATTTACCTACCATACACTGTGTGCTATTCCTGGGGCATATAAAATAAATCAGAAAGATCTGGTCCACATAGACAGGGAAAGAGAGCATAAGATGACGAAACTTCTTTTACCATGAAGCTAGACTGCCAAGGACGGGGCTGGGTTTTCACAGTGCTTTGGTGAATTTGAGTCCAAATTTGCCAGTTTGCAGTACATTATGCCAAAGCCAACCTAAGTTTATAAATTTCTCTTCCCTCACTGATTATTTATCTTTGTATTTCATTTCTGATAGTTATTAAGTAACTATATTTTAATTGTTTTAAGTTGCATTATCAATGGAGTTTTTACAATAACCATTGCTTATTTTTCTTCATGAAGAGTCCTATTCTGCCAGTGGCTCAGGCAGAGCCAACTAATAAGACATCTAACTCTTTAATGATCAGGGGACTCTATGCAGGCCCTATCATTTGAAGGTTTTGTTTAGATAAGTAAGCACCAACTAGTATGAAGTAATGATGGCATTTATATTTTATAGTCTTGTGACAGATGTATGGGAGAAGTCAGAATATGTCTTCTTTTTCTTTATGACTGAACTTCATTTGCTTTATTTAAAGTTAGTAGCTGCAAGATCTTGAAAACTAGAGCAAAACATTCAAATTAGAAGAATATTTTAATTTTAAGCATTTGTTTTTATACGATCTTTTTTGGGTATCATTTATTGTCCTTCTCCCCATTACTTTGTTTTTAATTTTACTTTATTTTTTATTGTAACATAGTTGGTTGTACATATCTGTAGAGTACAGAGTTGAATATCAATACCTGTGTGCAGTATGTGATGCTCAAATCAGGATAATTAGTATATTCAACATTACACATTGTAATCATTTTTTGCATCCCTTTACCAATTCCTCCCTTCCCTTCATTCTTTCTCTGGGAACCTCTGGTAACCCCAGTTCTGTTCTCTCCTTTTGAAATTCCAGTGAATTATTGTGATTGTTGTATCTTTCTTTTTTAAAAAAATTTGTTTATTTTTAAGCTCTCACTTATGAGTGAGGACATATGGTATTTCTCTTTCTGTGCCTGGATTATTTCACTTAACATGATTTTCTCTAAGTTCATCCATGCTGCTGAGAATGGCAGTATCTCATTCTTTTTTATGGCAGAGTAGTATTCCATTGTGTATGTATACCACATTTTCCTTATCCAGTCATCCAATGATGGACATTTTGGTCAATTCCAATTCTTGGCTATTGTAAATACAGCTGTGATAAACATGGTCCTCCTCATTACTTTTCAATCCTTCCTCATCAGTGTTGTGAAAATGCTTTGCTACAGACAGTTCTCCTTGAACTAGACAAAACTTTGGATTGTCTAACCTAGGCAAAAGCGTTAATTTCCATTTCCCTAAAGTTGTGTGATCTAGCACAGAAGATTAAACTTTGGCTTTCATAGCTGTGAAACTATATGCTATTTGCTAAAATTTATTAATAAGCATATTTGTTCCTTTTACTAATTTGAATGTAGTATGGACTACTAAAAATATGTCTGTGTACCTTGAAATAATATATCTTCTATGGCTATTACTGTTGTCATTTAAAAAATAATATTACTAAAGATTGGAAAGGTATATCAAGTATCATTTAATTTACCAGTGGCGAGAAATTAAAATGAATGACATGGTATTGACTGATTTATTTTTATTTTTATTTTTCAACTAGCATCTGAACCCATTTCTTTGAAAAACTTAAAAAGGCGATCACAATTTTTTGAACAAGGTAAACCACAAAGCTAACAATTCATGCACTTCCATGGAATTGTTCTCACTGTCCACTCTTCCTTGTGGTCTGTGGTGCTGGGCACTGAGCCTCTTTAATTGGGCCGTCATTATGACCAAGTGACATAACCCATTTCCATTCTTTCTCTAGGGTCATCGGGCTTTTTTTACAGTTCATGGGTCTACCTCTGTGGTAATGGGTCTTTGTGTGTCCTTTGTATACTTCTAAAGATTGTTTTGTTTTTTTTCCCCACCTTGTAAAAAAACTGAGATGCTGTTAAACACACACTTCTTTCCACTGGGTAACAGTAAGAAATGAGGAATTTCATTTAAGTCTTACTGCTTCCTACCAATTGCATAATACTGAATTACACCAACATACAGTTGGCCAAATTTTCAAAATTCTGATCTGTTTTTGATTGTGCAAAAGTTTTATAGAGCAGAGTTATTTATTGCTATTGGGGTGGTGGCTTTGGAGTGTTGATATGACTGCTCTGTGGACTTTGAAGTAAATTCAAAGTAATTAAGTTTTGGTTGCATCTGGGAACAGGTATGTTTTGAGATGCTCTGTGTTGGTGTAGTTGGGCAGGGCTGCCTCACGACGTGTGATGCATGTGGCGTTTCCTCCTCTTTCACGTCTGTCCATTGCTCTGTCTCAGGAATGCCCTTCAAGCTCTGGCACTCAGGAGTGAGAGGTGTAGAGACTTTGTGGGGACTTTGTTCCCATAAACTGTTGACTAGGTCAGTTGCAGAGTAATTTAATCCCCCTTACAGTTAGCTAGAGGCTTTAATGAATTACAGCCACATTAAAGGGTGGATATGGGTTTAAATTTGGAGTATCTACCTTTTCTTAACATCTGCATTTTAATTAAATGTAAGCTCTTTCTTCTTTAGAGAGTAAAATCTGATTGGTTAAATGAAAATAAAATCACTCTCTTTAAAGGTTGAGGTGAAGGAGATAGCAAAAGGGTTAATGAAAACAGATTCTGTTTAACATGAGAAGTTAATCTGTTGATTAATGTGCCATATTTTCTTATAGGAAAAATATCAACGTGAGCAGGAGAAACTGAGGGAAGAGTGGCAAAAGGCTAAACAGGAGGCTGAGAAAGAGAATTCCAAGTACTTGGATGAGGTAGAGTCAGCACATGCCTGTTTAGTTCCCTTGCTTCCCTTTCCTTTGTTGGTGGAATTAGCTGAGAAGCAGGAGACACTCATTTCTCTCTGCTTTTGGCCGCACATTCGTCTCTGTAGGTCTTTGAAAAATTTGCTTCCCTTTCCTTTGTTGGTGGAATTAGCTGAGAAACAGGAGACACTCATTTCTCTCTGCTTTTGGCCGCACATTCGTCTCTGTAGGTCTTTGAAAAATACGATGAGCTCCTATTCGTTAGAATTTTGCTTTGGTGTTTCAATCTTTCTCCTAGTTTTTCTATCGCATCATTAAATAATTATATTAATACAACTTACGTGCATCTTCCTCTGCCAAATTACATCTCAGTCACTTCCGTGTGGCTTTTTTAGTGTTAAAACTCTTAATATTTTTTTGAGTGGAATTCTGGGCCAGCTACTGTTAGTATCATCTAAAACTGAATATATACGTATCTATATGGAATTATAGAGATGCACAGATTTAGATGGATTTCTTTTTTCACTGGTCACCTAGGAACTGATGGTCCTAAACCCAAACAGCATTTCTCTGACCACACGGGAGCCCATGGTTGCCACCTGGGATGAAGGGTCCAAGTCTTCCGACAGGGAAGGAACCCGGGCAGGAGAGGAGGAGAGCAGACAGCAGCAGGAGGAAGCTGTTCGTGAGGACCACAGAAAGAAGCTGCAGGAACAACTCCTGCTGGAGCAAGAGAGGAAGCTGAAGGAGCAGCAGTATCAGGAAGAGCAGGAGCAGACGTGGCGTCAGGCCGAGGCGGAGAGAGAGAGGGAAACGTCAGTCAAAATATACCAGTATAGGAGGTCTGTCCCCACAGCCGTAGGGCACCGGGAGTTTTCAAGGGGCTTGGCTCAGCTGTATTCATTCCCCACTTCAAAGGCACCTCATCATTCTCCCTGCTCCCTACTATCCTTTCTCTACACATGTGAACACAAGCAGCCTAATGGAACCTTTACGTCATAAGCCCAGTCATGTCACCTTAATTCCCTGCTCAAAACTCTCCCTAGAAGGCATCCTGTCACATAGAACACCCTCCAAAGTCGTTGCTGTGGCCTGGAGGCTCGTATGAGCTGCATCTTGGCCCATGTCTACCTCCTAGTGCCTGTTCTTCTTCCTCCACTCGTGGGTCCAGCCCCGCTGGCCTCCTTTTTCTTCCTTGAAAATGCCCAACATATCTGCCCCTGGACTTCTGCACTTTCTGGTCTATCTGCCTGGAGAAGTCTTCCCTCATGTATTTATATGTTTTGCTCACTCCTCTTCTTCAAGTCTCTGCTCAAACATCGCCACCTTTGACTTTCCAGAATACCTGATCTAAAACACATGCCTCTTCCCCATCCCTTCTCTCTGTGTGCCTTTACTCTTTTATATTATGCATTTGTTTGTCTTTTGGCCTGCCTGCCTCAATAAAATCTAAGTGCTACGAGGCCAATAAGTTTGTCTTGTTTTCTTCTGTAGCCCAGTCCTAGAATGGTGCTGGAACATGGTGGGCACTCAGTATATACCTTGGCATGAAGGAATGAGTGAATGAATGAATTGCAAATGTCTGTTGTCAGTGGGTCTGTTTTCTGCAGTGATTGGTTGAAATACCACTGTATGTTTAGTTTTAAACAGAGACTATTTATGTAAAGAGACTAAACTATCTCTACTTTCGTATCCTTTTCTTAAACTCAGGGAAGGCCTGAAGGTCTAATACTTTGACTACAAAATATTTTTCCTTCTTTTAGGCCTGTTGATTCCTATGATATACCAAAGAGAGAGGAAGGTTTGCTTCCTAATGACAGGTATGTAGAACATTTTATTGTAATTTGGTTGGTAGTAATTGGCTTCAGATGAATATGCCAAGGCTTGCCTGGATGATTTATAGAACTACGTTAGTCCTTTGTGTTTTGTGGGATACAAAGACAACTTATTGTTTGACCTTTGTATCGATTAGCTTCTGCTGTGTAACCAACTACTTCTAAACTTAGTGACTTAGCTCATTATTTTGTGGGTCAGCGTTTTCAGCTGAGTTCAATTGGGCAGGTCTTTCAGTGGACTAGGATCTTTCATGCACCTGCTATCAGTTAACTAGCAGCTCTGCTTTTGGGGTTGGCTGGCTGCCATTTGGGGCAATGAGAGCCACTGGGTTATGTATCTTTCAACATCCTGCAAGCCAGTGGGATTTTATATACATGGCAGGTGGGCAGGGCAAAGAGAGGATTAAAGAGAGGAAGACTGCAAGGCAACTTGGGGTCTTAAGTTATTGTCTAAAAGTCACAAGGCCAGCTCAAGTTCATGGAGAGGGGAAAAACTCTCTTTATGAAAGGAATCAATTGCAAGGAGAATGGACATGGATGGGAGAAGGATTGTGTCTATTTTTATAATCTATGGCGGCTTTTATTTTAAAAGTTGAGAGCACTGGCTTACGATGTTTCATATGGATGTCTGAAAAGAGAATTGTGGCCTTTCTCTTAGACAGTGGTTAGAACTGCTGTTAAGCTTTGGGGAAAGAAGATAAAATTTCAGATATCTGGAAAGTTTATACATGTCTTAAAATTTCTTAAAACATTAAATTTTAATGTTTTAAAGTAATGTTTAAAATGCTTTGCAGTTTTGGAATCACTAAGGACTTCTGAACAGTCTGTCAATAAATATCCAGTGTAGGACCATTAACTTGTGTTTTCAGAGCTGAAATTTCTCCTTCAGAAAGTTTGTCTTATTCATTAGACAGGGAAAGACTTGTATCTGTAGCCAATCAGGATGACTGAATTGGGCTCAGAGTAGAAAGGAGTAACCAGGTAGTGTGGGATGGCGATAAAGAAGGAAAAAATGACCTTATTTGTAATGAATCTCTGAGTAACTATAGATCATAAAAATGTTTATCTCTCTTTTAAAGTTATGGATTTATGTATATATTTTAAAAATATTTATGTAGCTCATTGCCTTTGGAAAAATAATTAAAATGCAGAGAAAGAAAACTTAAGGAATTCTGGAAAATATGGAATACCTCTAGGCATTCTTATTAAAGCATGCACTAGATGCATTGAAGAGTGTGGCTAGACATCTGGTAATAAAAGTGTTTTCTTCTGTGTAAACACAAGTGAAATTATTCAGAAATGCAGCTGTCTACCAGTTGTATATATTATTACATATTATAGATTATTACATTATATGCATACACATAAATACATTACATATACATGTATGTACACGTTAATGCATATTATTGTATATTATTATACATTATTATTGTTACCATTAGTTTTGAAGCTCAGTGTGCCTAGTAGAGTGAGAATGAGGTAAGTATGTGCTGATTTATAGATCTAAATTTTACTGCTACAAAGTTAGGCATTTTCAGAAATTGACTGTGCAATGTGCTTTACTACCTCTTTGAAATGCTGCGATAGCATTTGGTAAATGGCTGTTTCAGAGGAGTCAGTAGTATCCTAATACCCAAGAAATCGACATCATGACCCTGGTGCAGCGTGGAAGAAATGGGGACAATCTGACTTTAGGTGACCTGCTGGCAGATGCTTTGTAAGCCTGGTGAGGTTGAGATCTGAAACAGAGTAAACATTGATGTAAATTGGTCAGTAATCATCTTAATCAGTGTACAAGCTGGTGAAGTGCTGTCACATGTTTATATCTGTTTCCAGCATCTCACCTTTCTTGGTTCTAGGAGTGTCATAGTTTTCTGCTGGCTTGTGCAATATGAAAAATTCCTTGGCTTAAAAGTGAATATCTCTCTCAACAGATATAAGAAATAAATCAACTGCTTTAAAATCCATCTTTTTTGGTGTATTTGGTTCATAAATATGAAAAAGATGTTCTTACATATTTACTATATTGTGTTCTGTGTTTTAGGACTAAATCCATGTCTACTACTGAACTGGATGGTTACCCTGCAAATAAAAATGGTAACTGTGATTTTTTTCAAACTTCCTCAGCATAATTGCTTATTTGTGCTATCACAAACTATGATCAGCATGTTTAAGGTCAAGACATTTCAGATTTGTTAAGATTTCATAATTAAAATACTTAGTATTTTTAGCATCTGTACATAAAAACAACGAAACTATCGTGCTTAGTTTGGCTTCATAATGGAAATAATACTGGAAGATTAAAATGGTTTTTAAGTAGCTAATGAACTGTGTGGAAAATTTGCAAAGTGATGCAGTTTCATCTTGTAGCTGAAAAATGGGATGGGAAAGATTTCTGCAGAATACTACAGGACTTAAAAATTGTATACAGGTTGGAAATTGTATGTTTAAATGCCAAAATATTTTTTAAAAAGTCCAAAGTGATAATGGCTTCACTAACTTTGCAAAAAGAATTTGGAACCTGATATTGTTATAAAGCATTTTTCCAAGGAATTCATATAACTGAAATTATATAACTAAGAAAAAAAATCTCTAAGCAATAAGCATCATTTTAGGCAGGGTTTGCATAAGCAGGCTGCCGGTCAGTTACATAAATCAATGAAGGTCCAGGTGGAGTTTGAGGTGGACATGCCCATGTAAGTGGACAGCTGTTCCCCAGCTTCAGCCTGTGACTGCCACGTGGGAGAATGCAAGTCTCTGATTGCCAACTCTTTCTGTTGTGAAAAAGAAGTAAAAAAAAAAAAAAATCTGTATTTTCATGTGTTATCTTGTAAGTTCTGACAAGGAATTTTTTTTTTTTAAGTTTAATATTTTTGTGTGAGCAAAATGACATGTCTACAGGCCAGAATGGTCTGGTGGCAACTAGTCTGTAACCTCTGACTAAAGCTTGTAGAATTTATGGTTTCTATTAGGGTTCATGGTTTTGTGATCGCCCCTTTCCTTGAACACTTAATACCTTCTATTAATCTGGTCCTAGTTTAACTTTCTAGCCTATTTTGCTGTGTTTTTTCCCTTTAAGAAACCTTAACTATAACCAAATTGTTTTCTTTCTCAATTCCTAACTTCTCAGATACTTTCTGATCTGGTTTGTGTAGTCTTACTTTTCCCTATTTGGATTTCCCATTTTTTGCCCCTGAACACTTGCCCCCAGCATCGTTAAAATTATAGGTTAAATACTTCAGTCTTCCATGAACTACTTTTAACCTGCAGTGATTATATTCTCTCCTGACCTTAAACACATAACCTATTAGTAAGGGCAACTGTGAATCTCTGAAATCATCTCGTTAGTATTTTTGGCTTGTTATTCACCTTGTTATTTTTGTGTGTGTGTTGTCTCCCCTTTACTGATTTAAGCTCCTAAATAGCAGGCAGTGGAAGTTATTAAATATTTGATTGAAAAACTTGATTATACCAATAAGGCACTTTCAAAATAGAAGATGTTTTATTTATTTAAAATCTGACCAAATTGATAAGCTATATGTATACACAAATGTAAATGTAGGTGTGTATAAGAAACCTTTGGTGGCCTTGCTTATTGCTTACTGGAAGATTTATATCTTCTCTCTGTGCCGTGTGTGTGTGTGTGTGTGTGTGTGTGTGTGTGTGTGTGTGTAAGTTTTTTGAAAGAAGAAAACTCCCTGTTTGATTGCAGAGTTGTCACAGCAGGCATTTGATGAGCATGCGCTCAACTGATTTAATTTAGGAAGGAAGGGAAGAGTGGAAGAACTGTTTCTAGATGAACATTTTGTGACCAAATTGTGCTGAAATCAATAGTGGTTTCTTATTAGGCAGCCTCCTTAGTTTTCCTGAGTGTGTTCTGTGGCGTGCCTCTGGCTGTGGAACTGGACTTTCCAGGGTAGGAGACAGTTACTTTGTGTTCTCATGCAGCAGCCTCACTGAGAATTGATAATGTTGGCACATGTGCAGTGTCACATTCTAAGCTGTACTGTATTTGGAGACTTATTCACCATCACCTTTTAAAATATATTTAATCCTGAAGCTTTTGATGTGTTTTTAATTTAGGAAGCACTAAATATTTAGACAAAATTGGAAGCACTAGCTCTCCACAGAAGAGCTCCAAGAAAGAACAAGTCCCATCCGAAGCAGAGTTGGAGAGACAGCAAATCCTTCAGGAAATGAGGAAGAAGACGTCCCTTCACAATGACAATAGCTGGATCCGCCAGCGCAGTTCCAGCATAAATAAGGAGCCGATTTGTCTGCCTGGGATTATGAGAAGGTGCGAGACACTTTAGGAATTATTTTCTCTTTTTTTACTATGAGGCAAATATTTAATTTCTAGAGATGCTGGTGCTTTGGGTAGAAGAGGTGTCATCCTGATTTCTGCTGCTGCTTACCTAAGACTTGGTGAGAGAAAGAGAAGCAGAGCAGACATCACTGAGCACTATTGTGTGTCAGACGCAAGCCAGTTGCTCTGTCTACGTCACCTCATTTAACCTGCAGAAAATGCTTTGAGGTAGGGATAGTAATTCTGTTTTTCCATGTAAGGAACCTGTGGCTCAAGCAGGGAGGACACTTAGACAAAATCACATCGTTAATAGGTTGCCAATAATGCATGTGGAATTCTGAAGTGGGATTCAGACACTTAACACATCCCACTCTTAGTGCTTTCGTGGCTGCTGAACTTTAAAAAAACATAGGTAGATATAAATTGAGATGAGTGGATGAATATTTTAAAAGATGTGTCTTGGGTAAATGAGTACTGCTGCTTCTCTGATTCAATATTTCTTTATTGGACAAATAAACTTGGGAAAGTATTTGTAACACATTACAGAGAATGGACTACTAATTATTGTAATATATGAGGTTTTTTAAATCAGAAAATAAACCTAACAACTCTATAAAAAAATAAAGTGTTATGAACAGACAGTTCATAGGAAAAAGAAACAAGCCAATAAACATAAAAGTTTGATACTACTCCTAAAACAACAATGATGTGTCTCTTTTGCTTATGGGATTTATAAAGAGTTAAAATTGATAATTTAGTGTTGACAGTTGTAAAAGATATAGGAATTCTTGTTTCCAGTTAGTTGGACAGTTCTTCAGTGTTGTAAACAAAAGTTTATGCATCTGTACCCTGTGAGCAATTTAGTTTCTAGCACTCGATCTTCTGGATGTATTTGGATAAGTATGCAAAGATATATCCAAGGATGTACACTTAAACATTATTGGCAATAATAAAAAAAAAAAAATTGCAGTGTCTATTATTAACGGGATACTTTGTAGTTGTTCAGTAAATAGTGGCACACCAATAAGATAGAATACAACTGTTAAGGAAAGAGACATATTGGTGCATAATACACCAACTCAAAACTTAGTGGGTTAAGATAACAATTCATTCTCTCTTACAATTCTGAGGGTAGTCTGGGCAGTTCATCATGTTGTATTGGCTGGGGCACTTGAGCAGCTGTAGTCCTTTAAAGTAGGAGTCCACAAATTTTTTTGCATAAAGGACAAGATAGTAAATAATTTAGGTTTTGCAAGTCACATTGGTCTCTGTCACATGTTATTTGTTTTTTCAATAACTCTTTGAAAATGTAAAAAATATTGTCAGCTCATGACCCATATATATTTTGGCAGTGGGCTGTAATTTGCTGATGTAGAAGCTTCACTGAGAGCTCAGCTAGAGCTGTTGGTTGAGAGCCTCTGTTCGCTCTATGGGCCTCTCCGTACAGCTGCTTGGGCTGCTGACGGCACGGCACTTGGATTCAAAGGGGAAACTTTCCAAGAGGATGATCCTTCACATGAAAGTGCTTATCAAACCTCCATGTGCATCTTGTTTGCTGATGTCCCATTGGCCAAGTTAGTCTCATGGCCAAGCCCAGAGTCTGTGGGAGGGGACCATACAAGGGGCATGGATACCAGAAGGCATGATTCTTTGGGGGCCACCAAAGTACAGTCTATCGTAGGAATAGACATGAAGATACTTTAAAGATAATATGTATTAAATGGACAACAAGATATTGAAAACTGTGTTATGGAGTAATCCCATTTGTTTAAAAACAATTTTTTTTTCACTTTTTTATTTTGGCGGCTGGATGGTAAGGGGATCCGAACCTGTTTAAAAATGATAAACACACAAATGCATTGCTTTTGTATATAGACACATCTATACTTACATATGTGAATTTGTATGCATATGTATATATGTGCTTGCATATGTGAGAAAATGTCGGAAAGGACACATAATAAACAGTGGTTACCTTTGGGGACTGGGACAGGTAAGTTGTGGTAAGTGAGAAGGAAAGACCCTTACCCTCTCTTGGCTACACTTATATAGTGCTTGAGTCTTTCTCCTTATGATGATGTGTTACTTTTATAATGTTAAAATAAAAAACATACTTCAAGCTTGAGATAAGAGAAAGTTTTAAAAGCGATAACAACAAAATTGACCAGGTAGAAAAAACTCTCGTAATTTGGACTTAACTTTTGTAGATTAGTATTAATGTAAGTACATGACTTTAAGAGAGATTTTCCAAAAGATGTCCTTAAATCAGTTTGTGAGATAGATCCTATTTTAGATGCATATTCAATTTAAGGGACATGGCTGCTGAATGCTCCTGTAATGTGGACATTAAACAGTTGTCAAAATTTAGGGCTGTGTGTGGTGAGTGAATGAAGGCTTCACAAAAGTCATGGCCTGGATTACTTCAGAATCAGAGGACTTTGGTTTGAAAGCCAGTGCCACCACTGATTGGCTCTTACTATGGACAAGTTGACATCCATGAGATTTTTAAGAAATCTTATGTAGTGTTGTGAAAATTAAATAAGTTTAATATTTTTATGAAAGTGTCTAGCCTAATACCTGTCACACTTAAGTGCTTAAAATGCATTTTTTGGGTTGATTTTTAAGAAAGACTTTAAGATTGATATGTCCAAACTGTTGAAGATTTAAAGGATGAGTGTCTGCCGTCTTAGTCTCGACTTTTATCTTTGAAATATTTTTCTCAGTAACTTTCTTTCCACTTTGGTATTTACTTTATTCTAAGTACCAAGTAAATGAAAATAAATGAATGTCGATTGAAATGTGAAGTATCATGATGCCTCTGAGGATGAAGAGCAACTTCTCAAAGGGAATGTTGTGTGTAACTTGACTTCTTACATTAATACCTGCATATGAAATACATAAAGTAGATATTTTGATGACTGTAATGATGTGTTAAATAGGTTTCTAGGTGGACATATCACATTCTTTTGATGAATCCTTTCTGTGTTTCAGAGGTGAATCTCTAGATAACTTGGACTCCCCGAGATCCAGTTCTTGGAGACAGTCCCCATCGCTCAATCAGTCTACAGGATCCTGTGCTTCTTCCTCCACTCAAGACGTCAGTCGCCCCCCACGTCGGGTGCTGTCCTACATGCGGAGCCCGCCGCAGGGCTCTCATTCAACTGGCCCTGTGGAGATCATCCCCGCATACAGAGCCACCACCCAGGCCCCTGCCGTGAGCAGACCTCCGCTTTTAGTCTCACAGTCAGGCTCCCAGCCACGTAACAGGTGAACCCTTTCATCTTTCTCTTTTTTCCCTCTTAGTCTCAGGGGTATTTTTCATTCAAATTTCCCCCAAGTCTTGTCCAAGCTTTCCAATGAAAGAGAAAAACAAGCCCTTTTGAATGAGTCAAATTTGTTGTTCTTTTATCAAATCCTGAGAAGGCTTTCTTTATACTGTTCCATGCAACCGTGGTAGTATTTATAGGTGTCTTGTGAAGCCACTGGAGACCTTTAAGACATTGACTTACTGCCACTGTCTCACTTGCCTGTGCTTGTGGTCAGTGTCTTAGGTGGAACATCTGAATAGATGTCAGTGTGGAATCATAAAAATACACAGTAACTCACTCATACTTTTCAAATTTATGAGTAAAGAACATATTGTGAAATGGATGACTATTTTAATGACACTGTAGTGCAAGCTCGTTATGTAGGAACTGAGTATAGAAGGAGAATGTTGTAATCAAGCTCCATCATCTGGGGAACTTTTAACAAACTGGGTTAAAAAAAATGTTAAATAGGTTAGATCTTGCTTTTTGGGTTTTTGATTGCCAGAATCATTGCTTGCCTGTGATCTGGTCTGCCAACATTTTGTTCAGGCTACATTAACTGTATTCTGTAGGTCACATGGTATAGGAATTGTGTAAGTTGTGATAGTGTCTTGACTAGAAACTGATTTTTTTATATAGAGTGAAGCCTACGTACCAACACGGGTTGAGTTTTTAGATCTACATAGCTTTTCCGCAGATCTTTTATACTTCACATAACTATATAGAGCAATGCTTCTGTTGTCACCCCAAGTAGATGCCAGTGCTGCTGACATATACTACTTTTCATCACAAATGGAATACTTAAAAGTAGAAACACATTAATACTGGGATTTTTTTCTGGCTATCAAATAAGAGACTTTGATAAGAAACATATTTTATATCAATCCAAAATAGTGTTACATGTACCAGGATCTGCAAAATGTGTATCAGAAATTTTGAATTAAGAGAAAAGGGGTAAGGAGCTATCAAATAAGAGACATTGATAAGAAACATATTTTATATCAATCCAAAATAGTGTGACATGTACCAGGATCTGCAAAATGTGTATCAGAAATTTTGAATTAAGAGAAAAGGGGTAAGGATTTATGGTAAATCTAGGGGCAGCGGGGGTAGGAGCATGGGCATGAAGTCTCGGGGGTGGAAAGAAGGCAGAGAAGAAAGTGAGAGGCGATCGGCCATGGGGCTTTTCTGCCCTGAGAAGCTGCTCATCTAGGAGATGGCCTCTTAATATCCGATACTCAATAGCTGTGCACTGTTCACTGCCACCAGAATGCTGTGCTGGTGTTCTGGGGCTATAAAGTTAAGGAATAAGTGGCTGCTACTTCACCACTTGAGAGAGGAGATAAGGCCCATATCCAAAAGTAAGGTAGAAACCATCCTTCCCTATCTGAATGGAAGCTGTTGGCCAATTTTCCTTTCATTGTCCACAGAGGAAGTTGTATAAGCCAGAGGCACAGTCAAGAAAACACTGGCACTTCTGTTTAACTAGAAAATTGGATGAAAAAGAAAGAGAGTGAGAAATAAGACTGTGAAGGTCAGTTGTAGCAGACTCGCAATGCCTCTCGAAGGAAGCCGGGGCTGCTCTGCTAGCCTTCTGAGGGGGGCATGACATGATTAGTACTGTGTGCTTGGTAGATTTAACCAGCAAGAAGACAGAGGTGGATTAGAGGAGGGGGACTTGGTGAGTACGGATGTGATCTAAGAGGACGGCATCCTGGGGTGCAGAATGGACTAATTTTTACACTGAAATTGTTCATTGAAGTGCATAGGTGTCAGGGGTCCCAGAGCCACTGTGTAGATCATTAAAGGTTTCAGTCTAACCAAGTGAGAAATAAGGCATGCGTTGGTTGGCTGGTGAAAGTTTTTTTGCCACAGATATTTGGAACCTTTCTTAAATTATGATTAATGCTAATACCAGAGTGTGATTTTAAATAAAACCTTGAGTTGCCCAGGTGAAAGCCTCCATTCATTCTTGTTCCACATCTAGGTCAGTCAGTGGGAAGCTTGTATGCGCCTACTGTAACAAAAATCTGGGCAAAGGAGCTGCCATGATCATCGAAACCCTGTGTCTTTATTATCATTTACAGTGTTTTAAGGTGAGACTGAGATAAACAGCCTGCAGGCCTGCAAAGCTTTGCTTGGAGCGCGCATGGCTTCTTTGAGCCACTGAATGTGGACGTGCCACTAACAAGCTAGATGCTGTGTTCGCCAGTCTGT